GGGGGGGGGGGGGGGGGGGGGGGGGGGGGGGGGGGAGAGGGGGAGGGGCAGAGGCACAGACACTGCGATCTCTCCATGTTTTTTGGCGTTTAATCAGTCCAGCCAGCTGAAAATGACAAAGAATATAAATTGAGGAGGGGTTTTGGTCAGCTCTTGTCTGGGGGGAGCTTGGCAAGGCTTTGTCTTTTTTTTTTCTTTTCGGTGTTCGGGAGGATGATATTTGTGTAATGCACCCCTTCTGGGTGAGCGTAGACGCAGCACCAATTGGATACGATTGTCAACGCGGTTGATACATGTAGTCCGGTATTCAGTAAATGGGTATGTGTAGACAGTTACACGCAGAGGCATCGCGGAAGTACCCAAGGTCCCCTCGCAGAGACATGCAAAAAAAGCTGTTGTCACACGTCCTAGACCCAGAACACGGCGGCCAATAGACGGAGTAGCACCTTATGCAATGCATGTCTTATTTCTCCTCTCCGTCCAAGATATTCTATCCCCCATTCTTTCTTTCATAACAAGAGAAAGATGAGAACGACAACAACAAGCTTTCCTCGTACTAGAGAAGCGAGAGATGGCCGAACAGGAGGGGGGGGAAAGGGCTCTCCCGACTCGGATGTACGCCCCGAATCTTCTGGCCGCTTATCCGCCTTTCTGCAGACATCTTCTCACTCTCCTATCTTGACCTACTATGGTCCATCTCGTGACTCCCCTCTTCGATCCATGAGCAAGCAGTCCGTCCATGTAGTTCAGCAAATGCTCTAGTGAAGAAGGCTCCATACCACACCACCTAACGTCAACACAACACAAAACCAACTTGAGATTCAGCCGCCAATATACGCAATCACTGATCCATCCCACAAAACTTCTCTTCCCCCCCTCTCTCTGACGCCTTTGACGGAAAAAGGGGGAAATGGAAAAAAGGGAACAAAACTTTCATAGGACCTGTTTTCTAAACGCCCGCCCAGAGCCGCCAACGCGAACCGCCCTCAACGTTGAGTTGCTCGACTCAGCCAGCCAGCCAGCCCCCCCTACTGGTATATACACGCCTCACCCCATCTTAACACGCCCAAGGGGCTTTTCCCCCTTCCATGGCCTTTCTATACGTCGACGTTTTCTTTTCGTTACAAGAAGTGTCCACGTCCGCAACGTGGCAATTTGGCCGGGGCATGAAAAAGACATAGTAGTAGAAGCAGAAACATAAGCCCGTACCCTTTCTCCTCACGAAAGAACTTGCTTCCAATTTGAAACCCCATAGGCCCTGTTTACGTAAACCCTCATGAGAATACAAATAGATCAGATAGCAATATCAAAAGGATAAAGAAAAGGTTCAGAAGGTGGATTAGCTTAACAAGAAAAGACGTACTTTGCAATTCCACCGCGTATATGCCCTCAAGCCAACCAGCCGCCCCCCCTGGTATCGACAGGTCTCATCCAGATCCGTTCTCTTCCCCCTACCAATTATCATAACTGTTTTTTCTCACAAAACCAACCGTCATACCTCGCGTATAACCGCAATCTTCCACTTCTTCAACTACTGCACCCAAATGATACCTGAACCTGAAGCCTGAGTCAGGATCAGCAAAACTCGCATACGCAACTGCAGCTGAGGCTGAAGAAAAACCCTCCATCGGAACTTTCTCATCTCGCTTCCCTCCCTCCCAAGGCAGACACGCCTGCGTTTTTTCTTTTCAGCCGCATGTTTGCTAAAACTACCGACCGCCCAAACTCCTCCCGATAACCACCACAGCTCGACTGTGTTTGTTGTCGTGCCATCAGTCCGGCACTTCTCTTCCGGGCTGGGCCCCGTGGTGTGTCATGGCTGAGCTGAGATCTCCCTATCGTCCTTGTAGAGTCTATTACCTTTGTAGTCTTTTCGGCTAGTGACAGCGTTCTCGAATATGACATAGATTTAGAGATGAGCTGAAACGTGCAGGGAGGCTCATGCAGTCATGCCGTCGTGCAGATCATCACAACCCGTTGAATACAGGCACAGGCGCAAATCATAATCAAGGACAAGTGCTCCAATTCGTATACCTTGGTAGTACTACTATTGGCCTGAACCTCGGCCAGTTACGCCAGCAATCCAGGCACATTGTCAATAAGCAAACCCTTTTCCAAACTCCCCCAAACCACCTGTGTGAAAGATACCTAGTAGCCTTCTTTTTGAACCCAATAGAACCCGTAAGTTATGTATAATCCCATGAGTTACCTTGCCAAACCCGTTCCGTCCATGCTCTTTGACAGAGAAAAAAAGACCCAGCCCACCCATTCTTGAAACGCCAGATGTAAACAGTAAGAGATAACTAGGAATGGAGGAAGAAAGAAGGAAAAGGGGGAAAGGGGTGGAAAACATCAAGAGAAAAAAAAACCAGAAATAAGCAGATAGCCCGTCAAGCCCGAACAATGTTATCCAATGTCCGGACTCGACTCGTTACCAAAGTGTAACAGGTATCCCAAAAACAACGTAAAAGAGCGTATTAAAAAAGGAGAAAAGATGTAATAAAAGAGGAAGATAGGCGTAAAGAGAAGGGTAAAAGAAGAGGAGGATTTTAGAAAAGGTTTAATAGGTTTAAGAAGAGGCATCTCCCAAATCCTCAAGCCTCTCCCAGAATTCCAATGGTTCGATAACCCGGGGAAAGTTTCGAGTCTCCAAGGCAGGAGCTGGTCATCCGTGCCTCAACTCCAAGGCGTATCTGAAGATGGTTCGCCGTCCTCTCGTCTTTTCTTGTTCATATGCAGAGTGGGTGATTTGTCTTCTTCCATTGCTGATGAACCTCCTCCTCCTCCGCTGGGTATCTTGAATAATAGGCGTACGCTCCATGCGTTTCCCGACGTAAGTTTGTCTGCTGTGGAAGATGTTGTTTGTACAAGGTGTGGTGGGTCATTCGTCGAAACTCCAGTGCCGTGTCCCTGTGCTCGGGTTGGAACTGCGCAATCAGCTTGCCTCTCCATTCCGCTGGGCTCCATCGTCAGAGCCTCCTGGATTCTCGGCGTTCTCTTGGCTCTTGCTTTCACAGCCCTTAACCAGTCTGTGTCTCTGTCCATGGTGCAACATTGAAAACGTCAGTAAACTGGTGCCGCGCACTTTGGGTTAGATGGGAGGCAGTACACACCTTGAGGGCATCCTTTCTTGAAAAGCTCTTGGAACAATAGTTGCACGGGAACGGCTTGACGGCCAAGTGAATCCGTTTATGCCGTTTCAGGTCGTGATTACGGCTAAACGACTGCACGCACTGGTCGCATTTAAAGGGCCGCTCAGGCTGTGACTGAGGCGGCGGATGAGGGTACATGAGGCCCGGGCCGCCGTAGGTAGGCACCATGCCGGGAATCATCGAGAGCTGGCTGCCGGGCTGGTGGATGTTGGACATGATCGGGCCGCCCATTCCCCCCATTGGCGAGTGGTAAGTCGGATAGGGAGCGCGGTAAGAGGTCGGGGGCTCCAACGAGGGCAGCGGATGCTGGCCGGACAGCGAACCCAAGCCCCGGGGAAGTGGCGCCGCTCCCGTGGACGAGTGGTTGTTCGGGGAGTGCTGCGGTGCGTAGGAGAAGCCGGGCTGGCCCTGGGCACTCGACGACGGGGCGTAGCTGGGCGCACTGATGGACGACCGGCCGTGGCCGTAGGGCTCCTGGTGAGCGCCGGCCGAGTTGGCCAGCGAAGGCGTGTTGGCCATGGCGGGTGGCTGGCTCATGGCGACGGAGGGCAGGCTGGTGGGCAGGCTGGAGTGGTTGTCCTGGCTGGCGGAGGACTGAAACCCGTGGTGCTCATACGATGCCTCTCCGGCGGCGGTGGGAGACGGCGTGCTTCGCTGGGCGCTGTACGGCTGGCCGTAGACGGTTCGCGGCGTGTAGGGCGTCGTCCCCATCGGCGGCTGGGTCCCGTTGGCGGCATTGAGGGGATACGGCGATCCCCCCGGCGTCTGCAGAGCTCCTGCTCCCTGCTGGGTCGAGGTCGAGTTGACGCCGTAGGACGAGCTGCCCGGCGTGGGCCATCTGCCGTGGACGTGGCTGTACGTATACTGCTGCATCGTGGTGATCGAGGCCGGCGATGCAGAGCAGACGGGATCGAGGGTTGTTGGAAGCAAGAGACGGCAGCAAGAGTACGAACGAGTACCAGCAGAAGTCGAGAGCCAGGGCACATGCAGGGGGGGTCGGGAAGGGGACGACTGCCTTTATACGCCTCCTCCTGCTGGATCTGGGCAGGCAGAGGCAAAGAGTTGGAATCAAGTTCAGGGCTACTGGTTAGCGAGCAACGTCCGTAGCGACAAGAGTGTAAGAGTGAAAGCGTGCAAGTGTCGAGGTTAAAGTGAGTGTGAAAGCGCTCAACAATACACACTGGCTCAATAAGGTTTCCTCTGGTTCCGGGGCGGCGTCGATGAGATGGCGCCGGATTGGGGCAACTGGGACGGAGCAAGTACTGCAGCCCTAAACTTTTCCTCTTATACCTGCGCTTGTATGCCGTTCCAGGCAACCGGCCAGGTATCCGGACAGCTGCTGCGCTTCTGTCTCAAAGTTCCAGGTCTCTTAGCTCCATGTCGCCGTGGGTGATGTACGCACCCCCTGTGGGTATCCCATTGGCAGCGGCCAGCCCCTGCTTGGCCATTGGACGGCAGCCGGAGTACGTACACACATGTGAGTAGCATGTATGCTCTCTCTCTCCTCTCTCTGTAGGTACAGACAGGCAGAGAGTGTATAAAGTGGGCATGGCCTTTCGTGGAGCAAGAAATGATTCCTCCTCGGTCAAATACTAGAGCCTTTCCTGTACTCGACACCGATTAACCCTTTTGTTCTGGCCACAAAAAAGAATCTAGAAGGACCACGTCAACGCTTAATCAAGAACCTCGACGCTGGACGAAGCCCCGCGAGAAAGGATAACTCACTCTGAGCCAAGCAGAAGGATGATCGCGCCTACACAGTTTCCAGGATGCTGGCGACTAGCAGCAGCCACTCCCTATTACACCTTATTACAACATGCTGCTAATCTCTTGACTTGCGTTTAACCCTCAGCCTCTCGGTTTTAGCGCCCCCAGCGCTGGCTGTGTCAAGTCATCTTTTCTCCTCCGTTGGGTCTCTTCTGCGCTTCTTTTGTCGCTGAGCCACTTCGCTGCTTGTTGCCTTGGCCCTTGGAACGGGACCTGAAGGCCTTGGTCCCGATCCTGGTCGTGGGCCCGGTGTGGGTGCGAGGTAGCACTACCGTCATTCGGGTTCGAGAGCTGTATGGCTAGCGCTCTCATAGATTGGAGGGCTGAAGCGGAGCCATGGATCAATGTCGCCAGCTCGTCGCCGGGGGGTGTGGTTGCTGCTTGCTGCTAGCATGTATCAGTACTAGCCTTGGAGACCGAGAGCATGATGGGACACAGAGGGGAGAGAGAGAACGGAGGAGATTACAGTGTGTGTATGTGCGAGCGAGAACAAGGCGACAAGAGAACGAGTGCGGATCCGGCGAGCAGAGATTCCGGAAATCCAGGGATCCAGAAGGTCGTCATGTCTCGTCTCAACGATACAGGCCCCCAGCGGTAGGGCGAAGTTGACTGCTGGTACAAGTATTATCCATTGCTGCCGTCAGCATTGATCAGAGCACTCTCCAATGCCCTCGATCGTGTCCTCTCCGTTCGGTTTCGGTTCTCTTTTTCCTTGCTCTCTCCGTCTTCCAAGTCCTGCTTGCCTACCTACCTACCTGTACCGGTACCCAATTCCTCAATTCAAATACCTCCCTCCCACCCTCGCTCACCACGCACACACCTCTTCACTCTGCGGTTGCTCAAAGTCACAAGCTGCTAGCTGCTGCTGCGGCTGCAGGGGAGTGCCGACAGGCAGCGAGAGGGGGCGTGTGAGGGCCTGTGTGAGAGAACAAGAGAACAGCAAGGAAGTACTGCTGCGTACAAACATTGGATGCATGTACGAGTAATACACCCTTTCCGGCGAATGGCTGCGCAGGGCTGGCACGCAGCGGGAAGGGCTTGCAAAACTGCCAGCCTCCATGGTGCCAGTGCGCTAGCAGCAGCAGTAGAATCGTCCACTTGCAAGCAGCAAGCAGCATTCGTCGCATCGTAGCCCGTACATACATACAGCCAACCCGCAGCAGCGAATAAGCTCGTAAATGCTACCTACCTACCCCCTGACCTTCTCCTGAGTGCGCAGCGAGGTGCTTCTGCAAGTACTACTAGTTAGGCCATTAGCACTCATACATGTCTATAGGTCAGCCTCTCTTCTGCCCTGTTTGGCGCCGCCTTGGGCGATTGTTGACTGCTGCGTGGACGAGAGACAAAAACGGTGCTCGGCTCGGATCCAATCCTTGAAAGCGTCATTGGGGGGGTGAGGAGAGGACATGGAATGTTTCGGACGGGGGGCGTTGAGACAAGAAGACCACAGTTGCGCACGGAGCCGTCGATACCAGAGTTACCTCCCTTGCCATCAGCCGCCTCGCCAAAACCTGCGGCAAACGGCTGGCACACCGCGCGTACTCCGTATTCGTAGCCCCCAGAGCCGGCACGGTGCACCCCTGCTCATCCGGATGCCGCCGGGTACCAGCTCGCTCCTGGTCTGAAGCGGTCCTGGTACCGTTTTCTCAGCCGCGAATCAAGTTGGTCAATCGGGTGCCTTCTTGGAGCCGGTACGGCGCATCTACCAGGGCGCGACCTCAGGTGCATCTCTCCGTACTCTGTACGCCATAGCCTGGCAACTCTGCGCCTGAGCCGTCTCCGTTGCTCTGAGATCCCTCCAGTACGCAGTACCTGTGGCTGATTAGACATCTGCTAAGACATTGCTGCGTGTGGATGGAGAACCGGTCCAGCAGCGATGGGATGATACCCACCCTCGACTGACATGCATTGCGAGCCTTCCGAGAGAAAACGCCCCCTTTCCCGGCCAAAGCATGTCATATACCTACATGTTGGTCGTTGGCTGCGAGAGCACACGAGCATGCTGGCAGGTAGTGGAAGAAGGGAACTGAATCGAGCAGCCAGTTATGACACTCGCCGCAAGTGTGACCTGCAACATTGGTCAGCGCAGTCTTCCTTTTCCGTCTCCTTCTCTGCTCCTCGGATATGCTCGCCCGGAGGAAAAGAAGGGGAGAAAAAGAAAAAAGAAAGAAAAAAAAAAATCGACCTCTTGAAACATGTCTCGAGCATCGGCAATCAAGGATACAATCCTCAGCCATCGCAATCCCCGACCATGCAATGCAATCTCTCCAAATCCTCCCAGCAACCCAAAGGCATGTGAGTCCGAGTTTCTTCACTGCCGAGCGCACCCCTACGGAGGTACACGACACTTACACGTCGTCTACTTCATCTCATATACCCACACACACCTCAGGCCCTCAAATCCTCCTCATCTTCCTCCTCCTCTCCTCCTCCATCTCGTTCAACTTTTAGTAGTACCGAGTAGCTCACCTTTGGCCCCCCCTCCTCCAATGTTCCCTCACAAGCGCCAAGGGGAAGTTTCTCCAGCCTGCATACATGCATATGCATGATGCGACTCCGTACCTGCAAGTCTGATAAGGATGTGTGTCCAAGCCGTACCCCCCTTCCCCCTTAGCTGCCCGGCTGGTCGATCGTGATTCATGGCAAAGGGCCAACATGGTGCTTCTTCTGTATTGTTCAGCAATCTCAACAGTGGTACCCGGTATCCCTTGGGAGCACAGCATCTGTAAGAGACAAGACAAATCAGGAAAGGAGAATGCATGCTTCAGCTAGCACAAGGTCAATCGGGCCAGAAGCGCAAACGCACTCCATACCCTTTGCGGCTCTGGCCGGGAACAAGACCTACTGCCCGCAAAGGCATGTACGAAGTACCAGCCAGTGTTCGGTGTCCCAAGCCGAATCGCTTGCTCAACCACCCCTACCTGCTTGAACAGGACCAGGTAAATGCTCCGATTTTAACGCGCCTCCGTTTTCGCCTCCCGCAATTCGGAGTGCCTCGTCCTGCTGCTAGTACAAGTCAACGTCTCGTAGCTCCACGACCGGCCCAGCTTAGGCATCTCCTTGCCGCTGTATTTGCGTAGGATTATTGGCACAAGTGCTAGCATTGCCCTCGCTTCTCCTCATTTCAAGTTTGCTTCCCACGCATGCATCTGCATGTTGCGTCGCCAAATTGCCATGCGTTTTGCGTCATGCGGCAGAGACAGATGACCGCTCCCCTGATGCAGGCATGCGCTTCGAAAGTCATTTCCTCTGGCTGCACCCTCCACGGGCATGTCATGAATGAGATCAACGTGTCTGTGTCGATCAACCAGGTCGATTAGGACGAACCCCGGGCAACCTTTAGCAAATGGTCTAGAACCCTGGAACTTGTACATGTAGAGCCCATCGCTGATGCTTGGGACATGCGACCTAAGTAGGGAGTAGAAGTAGCACTTCGTACCGCGGCGGCTCACTTGTCGTACCTACTCCATAATCTCTCGTTAGCACAAGTACGAGCACATGCGAGCGGACAGACAAGACCGTCGCTAGACCGTCAATATCGCGCTAGGACAGTCGATTGCTGAGATGCTCCATCACGGCGTACCGCGTATGGCAAGGTAGAGCAGCCAGCCGCAGCCTTTGTTAGTCATGTCCGCGCAGCAGCGCACTCGTCTGAACGGGGAGCTGAAAAGCCGGAGAGCATGGGGTAGTAGGACCCCTAAACCGCTCGTCGAATCGTACAACTTATGAACGGCTAAGATGTCGGCATCCTCTGACGAGTCCCTCCATACAACTAATGTATGTCCATACCTAACTGCACATCTTCTAGATCCTTTCGTGATGAGCTTAAGCGCCGCTCACCGACACGGATTGCATCTCTCTTTTCTTCCCCAACGAGTCATAGGCTGATGTGTTGATGGAGCTGAAATCAAGGTGCTCTGTATGACAAACACCGGTCGCCTGCAGGAGTGGACTCCATCACACCCAAACGGGCGACTGGCAATCGCACAGGAAAACGGGGTACGACTGCCTCCTACATTAACCCTCGCGGTATTGGAGCAACGGCCAGCTCGTTCGCCCACATCTTGCGGGCCCAACCGCTGGAAATCCCCTGCTGTGCGACGCATCTTGCTTGACAGCCCCGAGCCGCCAACGTATTCTGCAGCTTGTCGTTGCAGCCAAATCAACCACCCGCCGATTCAGGTGCACTTGATAGCATGGCATTGGCCGTTGCTCGATGCGGGTGTCCATTCGTCCTTCTGTCAAGGTAAGGTAAGCTTATCATCACCACCTACCTAACAGTAGGTAGGTAGACAAAGGAAGTTCTTGTTGAGATGCAAGTGGTACTTGTCTGTAACGTATAGCCTACGTCGAGGTAGCTAGTAGTAGAGAAGTCAGTATTCCTCGTCCAACATCGCCGGCAGTCCGTGATAAGAGACGAAAACAGCACTTGCCTCCATGTTCCCCGTTCTTGACTGCAGGAGGCAGACGCCGCCACGTCTCCACAACCCGAGCTAGGATCTGTTAAAATCCGCCAAAGTCTTGCTCTGCATTCAAGTCGCTTTTAGCGGCCCCGTTTCCTGTGGCCATACCGTTCGCTAATTTGAGCCGTCTTTCTTTGGGCGCATCGATATCACCCCGTTTTCTCGCGAGATCCGTCCCCTCCGTACAAAGTTTCATACGTCGGAGGAGAGCGAGAGGCATCGGTTGCAGGAGAAATCCGTAACAGAACGTCTAATATCCAGGCTCCAAAAAGCTTATTCGTGTCCATTGCTTTTGACCATTAGCAGTGAAAGTATGCAGCGATCGCGTACGAGTAGTAACTGGCCTACCCACGTGAGCTTGAGATATCCTCTTGAGGGGCCTTTCCACCGTTCTGAGGCTGCTTGAAGATTTCTTTGTTGACCAGACAAGTCGCCTGAACTTGTAGACCAAAAGACTGGACGGGGGCATACACCCATTCAATGGCTATTTTGTGAGCATCACGTCATGAGTTGGTGGTGCGGACAGACAGGCAAATTACCGTTGTTCATTGCAGACGCTCTCCTCTCCTATGCCGGGGCCACCGGGCATCTCCACAGCCGAGAATTCCCTGACTTTGCGGTAGCCGTAGTGCTTGCACTTCGTTCTTGCAACCCCATCGCTTACGTCCTTTCACTTGGACGGATAAGCAAAGGGCAAGTAAGATCTTGACAGATGAGATTGTAGTTATCCACGGGAGAGTCTGCAGGTTGTTGAAAGAGCGCGCGCACGGGCTGACAATCTGTCCACCCCCTTGCCCAACTCCACACCCCGGCTCACGACCCCGTGGCAACCCAGGCTTGCTTCCCAGCGCCAGCCGCAGCCATCGTCGGATAGGCTCAGCCATGCCGACCCAGTGCTGGGGATGTGCTTCACGGCGCAGCTTCCTGTGCGCTTGCCCTTGGCTTGGCGTGGAGAGCACCAAGGCGTTTGGGCGTCGGTAGAGGCACAACTCGCCGTTTGTTGGTCCACCAGCATGATCGTTTTAGGATGAATAACACTATGCATCTCAAAAGCCTCGAAGGTTGGACCGCTTCCCCTTCCGCTCTCCATCTGCCCGGATTGTCGAGTCCAAAGCCCTTGCGCTTCGTCAAAATCTCTTCTGCGGAGTTTGCCGCGCGATATCCCTGTCAGACATCCGAGTTAGCGGGCTCAGCTATCGAGGCTATGCGTCCAATTAGCATGGCCCTGAATGATCTGCTCCATGGAAAGCCCCAGTCCATCCTTGGCGGCTGTCTCCACGTACGGATCAACTCAACCCACACTGACCTTCGTAGCCAGCATGTAAGTATTACATAGTGTTCATCTGAGTTCCGTATAAGGAGTGAGAAGAAACGATGACTACGGCATTGCGTTCATGCTATCTTTTTCTCTGTGCCGACAGTCTTGCCTTGAACACGTTAATCGGCTTCAAAGGGGCCGATGTCGACCCATGACTCGCGTTGTGACCAACTGGCTGGGATAAAGCATGGCAGCTGCTCGCATCCATTTGGAGATGGGATACCCGAATACTATCCAGAAGGTGGATTAAAGCTGGGGAATGCGATTCGCTTCATTAGTAATATTATGAATCGATAGGACCTTCCGTTCAAGAGTCGGTTATGCCGATAGTTAGTTTGACGCCAGCCGCGCAATTCGAAGAAGCCGCTGATATTCATATAATCACTGCTGAATGCTCGCCGCTTATTCTGAAAATGAGTTGTCGAAATTGTCACCGCAGTGGACGTAGCCCAGAAGATGAGCAGCTCCTCTATTGGCAAGCCGCGGCTGATCTTGTCAGCCTCTTCTAGGTCGACTGTGGTTTTGAAGCCTGGAGTTGGAAATGGATTTGGTATTCAACCTTGGCAAAAGGGGTGTCGTTCTGGACCAATGGACAGCCGCATAGAACAAGCGGCAAGCAACAGCCAGGCTCGTGTGATCCATATGCTCGCCAAGAAGACCCCGTCACAATACAGAAAATCACTCCATTGTGCTGGGAATCTGAGTGGCCCTGTGATGTTTGCGCCTAAACATCAATGAGGCTTAACGCTGGTGGATGGCAAATTCGCCGTGAATGAATAAACGACGAGCCTGCAATAGCGCGGAAAGAGCTGAAAGAACCAGTTGCTAGTACTAGTATGAGTAAGAAGCCGCGCACAAGTGGACGACTGTGGGGGTTGCCGCGTGATAGTCTGCTAGAGGTCGTATCGGAGTTCGGCTGTGTCGGAAGGTGGCAATTCTTTGCATCCTCCAACAACGACGCCTAGGTAGTACTCGGAACCTGTTGGAACGGTGACTGTTGTAACATTGGTATCCGGGCTGTAGTAGGACCTCCAGTCATTTGCCGAACGGCTCCCATCACTTAGGGCATCCCGAATGTCGAACGATTGAGCAGGCATGCGAGTCCTCTGTATCTGCGCGGAGCTTTAGGCCCTTTGCTACCGCCACCGTCTGATGGAGGTTCGGATGTCGACAGGGACCTAATCGTGGCGCACATAGCAAACCGTGCTGCATGGCGTTAAACAAGGTTGTTGCGGCTGCAGTGGAGGTGACAGGGGTCGGCTCTGAAAGTTCTTGTCAGCAATCACGTCTCCTCGCTGAGGTGATGATGGGCCCCTACCGCCATTGATACTTGTAGAGTAGTATTCCGGAACTCGATGCGCACTCTCGGCTCGGTACTCCGTCGAGTGGGCTGAATAACTCACAGCCAATGGACTTGCGTGCATTGCGGAAGGATCCCTCATCCCCGTCGGTCACAGGCGCGCTCATGCCTGAACCCTGAACGTCCCCCTCAGTTAGTGTTGAGAGGCTTCGGAAACTCAGCGCCACTGTCAGAAGCCAAGGCAAAGGGCGGAATGGCGTCCCTAGCATCTGGGGTTGCAGAGGCGCCACCACGACGATCCACCAGGATCCCATAGATCCATGCAGGTTTTATCGGTAAGATAATGCAATATGTAGGTCACGACGAGAATTGCAGAGCGGATGAAAGGCAACAGGCAGACAGAGACGATAGCTTCATTCGGGCGTATGAATAAAGGAGGAGGTCAGATAAGGCACGAGGGGAATGAAATGAGAAGAAGACTGAATCAAAGCTTGTCGGCTCAGGTGAGGGGAGGGAGAAGGCAGTTCGGTAGTTGCTTCCTTGTAACGTGAATACAGGTTGGAGGGAAGGTACGGAAAAACAATTCTGAAACTTCCATCCGCACAAACGCGGAGTCGAGCTGGTGGAGAGGCAACTTCATGTTGGTGCCTCAACTTGGGAGCTCAAAATCCATTTCCATCATCTTTTTCTTCATCGTGTCTCTCGTCAACAACAGGCTCGCCAGAGGTATGCCTCCACTGTTACCGGCGCGATCTGTGTCTCGAATGGGCATGTGCAGCTCGACAAGCTCATCTATCGCTCCTGCAGCCTCCGTGACGATATGTGAGAGCAGATACAGAAATGCAATATAACACCGCTACAAGTGTCTTGCTGCAAGACGGAGGTGTGGTACTCTCAGACCTTACAGCAGCACGAAATATTGCTGCGGTGGGACACCAACTCGCCCTCCTTCGCAAGAGGCATGGCTACTCTCAACGATAGGCTTGTGCTCTGGTATATGCAGGAAGCCTTTGATAATCAGTTCCTGCAGACTATTCCAGATATTGACGTCTTTCGGGAGAGGAGGCTTTTTCTCAATGTCCCGTGGCAGCTTGTTATTCATTGACAAAACTGTTCAGTAGAAACCACGGCTGGGTGTTCTCGCAGAGCGCTGTAAATCGCATCTGACTGGTGCGGTGTCCGATACAAGAATCCATGCCTTAGCCAAAGGTGCCGAGATAGAGTCAGATCACGACTCTAGATATACTAAGAATGATGGCGATCGATGGAAGCACAGTCTTCCCCAGCAAGTCACTATGCGGATTTCATGGATGCCCCTCTTGATAAACTGTGGCTGACGCGCATACTCCTAGTTCTTATGGAGCAATTCCCGTCTCAACCATGCGTGCGATTCGACCATGCGAAAGTCAAGACGATGCCTTGGTCCCACATCCTAGCAGCCAGTTACTGCCTCACTCTAGAACGACCCGCGTCTCCCCGCGTCAAATTCTAATCAGGCCATACGAACGAGACGGGAAATCCCAATGACGCTGCTGGGTACCCAAACCAGCGGGAATGTATGGCGGTGTCTTGATGAGGTACTCCCAAAGGGCACCAGCAAGGAGTACCATGGACATTCGACGGCTGCAGTCTTACACGAACCCATATTGGCAAGCATGGTGCACTCCTCAAAGTTCAGGCAAGATCTGACACGGAAGTTGACAGCCCTGTGGTGGCGGTATATGACTTGCTCAGCAGCTGGATAATTCGAGTCTCTCCTCAGTCTACATATATGATGAAAGCCGTCTTGTTGCTATTTCCTACATGCCAGGTTGCGTTCGCAACCTAGAGCCAGCATAGTTCTTCGTTTTCTCTGGGTGTGATTAGGCAAGCCGGTTGTTATAAGCAGGCGCCATCTCCCACAGAATCATCGAGACCCTGAACCGACCTGTCGGGACACTTATCTGGCGTTGCGTGGAAGATTCACAGCAGAGCTTACCGTGATGACGGCATCACGTCGATTCGCAGCGAGTTGCCATCGGATCGAGACCGCCTCTGTGGGGAAACTCAATCATAGCATCCTACATTAAAGTTGTCATATGCTGATGTAAGGAGCAGCAGCGGTCAGCTTCACATCGTGCCGCGAACACGAAGCTTTTAACGCCCAAAATACGAAAGTTACTGCTGCGTACGAAGTACTTCGTACAAGTAGCTGGATCCCCACGTTACTAAAAGCCCAAGACAGGGGTATGCCATGCCACGCGAGGATCTGAGGCTACCAACGCCACGATATGCTCCATTCTCAGAAAAGGTACGAGCACAGAGTCGGAGAGACGATCCTCTACTGAGAGCTTCAAGATCAGCCGCCCAGGGGGAACTGAGTATGCCGTGGCAGGAAGCTGCGGGAGTCACCCCTGAACATTAAGAGCATATCGTCACAGCCTACTCCGTCTCGTCTACAGCGGCCAACAACCGTCAATCACCTGCAATGTCAAGGTGATACGGAACTTGCACTACCTTCGCACTTTATTCCTACATTACTGCCGCTCACACAATACATTCTGCACAGGTACGGCGTGCTCACTCGTACACGAGTGGTGCGTCGGGTAGGAGTACTTCGTACACCAAGGTAACCCCTTTCCCCCTGGTTTCCTCGTTCCTCACTGGCGCAGCCACCCCGCTAGAGCATGAGAAAGACAAGGATCAACGACAGCTAGGGGAGCTTGGGGAGTATACGGAAGAGGAGTCCAGGTATTAGTATGGCCTCCAACCTTCTGCTCTTCTAAACCCCCCTTTCAGCGTGGCATTAGCGTCAACGGTGTGCAGTAGTCTCAATTCCTCGGAGGAAGGAAGTGATCCGACAGAGACTGAGACGGAACAGTTGCTACCAGAGGAAAGATGGCATGCCCGTAATTGCGGTAGGGCTGGTCCAGTGTCAGCAGCGGGCGGCGCGTACGACAGTTCGGCGAAGAGCAGATTAGGGCCAGGTCCCGAGCGACTACGAGTCCGCAAAGGAGCGAAGCAAGGACGTGGCCGGGAGATAAGCATACAGGTGCTAGTACCTAGGAAGCATGAAGGCCTTCTCCTCCATCGAACCAAAAGCCAAACGTACGAGACGACACAGCTAACAGGGCTGTACGGAGTACGGATAAGCTGTACGGACGACAGTCTCCGTATTGCCAATGAATATTGTACGGAACGCTCATGCTAGTACTCGTACTCCTGGTCGTAGTGGATATTGCTCCGTAGCTACTGCATGACGGCTCCGCTGACTATGCCACCTAGCAGCAGCAGAAATAACACGCGCCGACACCCGGGAGCCGGGGAACGAGCGGGATGGCGTCCAAGCCTCCTCCACCGGAAGTACGCGGCCGAAGCCCTGCTCTTCTGGCGTCGTCTTGACACGCTCGAGGCTCGTTCTCAGAACAGCCAAAGTCACGCTGTGCATGCGGGAGGATCGTTGTGTGAATCCCATCTGCCAGCCGTCAGTCACCAGGGGAAAGACGCGCAAACAACTCTTCAGCAGTGTTGCTAGGATCCCATTAGTAGCTCTCTGTTGGCTGGATGAAGATACCACACCAAGTTAGCCCGCCCCCGGCTGCATCTGCAACCAGGATCTTGTTTGCCCAGACGAAAATGAAAAGCAAGGCAACGAGTCAATCAGCGCGTGGCTCAGAGACACAATCCTGGTCGGTTCAACTTGCTGCCGTCTGATCGGCTCGGGATGGGATGAGAAGAAAACCGGAGACATTTCTCAGCCGTCCAGTTTGCTCGGCGGTGCAGGTCCTGAGAGATTTGGTGACAAGTTACGAAAAAGCACAGAAGTGGGCAATGTGATCGGCTGAGCTGAGCTGAGCTGAACCCGCAGGCTATACGAACACAACCCTCGTTCACCCCCCTCTCTTGTTTGCTCTTGAATGCTCACTAACACAGCTATCCGATTCTAGAACAGGAACTACAACGAGTAGCTCAGGAGGGCGTAAATATGCTAGCCGAGGGCCTACGAAGCATGGCCAGACAGTTAGTTGCAGCGGCGGGCTTTCCGCGCTTGTTGGTTGGTTCTTATAATAACCGGGACCAACAGGGCCGGGAGAAGGGGGGGATGAGAAGGAGGACAAAATTTCCGGGCGGCCTTTCGATGAAGTGGGTATCATCGGCGCGCCTTCACCAGATGCAGTTCATGGCCTGCAACTCATTGACCTGATGATTCCTCCTGCTCTGATGCTAAGTATTGAAGATTGGCTGACTACTTGCTCTTTCATTTCGTTGCCTTGGTCGGACGGCCCCAGGTTCGATAGCTCTGGACGTTGAACGCCGGACGTTGGAACGCCGGGACAACTGGTCCGACCTCGGGTTCGGGACTCTCGGTACGGCATCGGATGGGCGGACCGTGTTGGTTGTCTCTTGTGTTGCTGTTCATCCCCAACCCCCCGGCTGTCTCGTGTGCCTTGGAGTGCTGGGGCGGCGGCCGGGGTTCTGTTCCTTTCAGGCTTGTCTGTTTGGTTGAATGGAAAGAAAACTGCCCACTGCCAGCGATCATCAGGGGATCAAGACTCGTACGTAATTGAGCGCGCCTGGTCTTTTGGCGCATACTATTGTACTTGATAATCTCGTTCTTTTTTGTTTCGGCCATGTGGCCCTCGCAATGCTCAGGTCTGAGCAACAGTACTCTGTAGAAGCGGAGAGGACAACTTACAGAATGATACTTTCTTCAAAGATTGCGACCAGCCATCTCAAGAAGAGACAAAAGCAGGTCCGCTGTTCTGGATCTCAACGGGACAACTCTTGCTTCGACATGATTCACAAGTCAAGGGATGTTGGAAGTCGTGGAACCTCAAGAACGTTCAGATACATGTTCAAAGAGGGGGGGCATACCACTTCGGTCCAAGCAACTGCACATGTTGGGGACTGGATGTAATGATTTGGAAAGATAGAAACCGATCAATACCTAAGGCCTATGAGAAACAAAGCTGCTGATAAAGAAGAAAGACTACTCCAATATTCCCACATGTTGATACAAATACAATGATACGGCGTCCCGAAATTTGCCCATAATACTTCCATGGACTTGATACAATCTCATATTTTTTCCCCCCTTCTCGTCAATCTCAGCGTTGTTACTTTTCACAGAGCCCAAGACACAAGACTGAAAGGCTTTTTTACAGCTTCGAAGCCGGGGAAGGAGAACCAGGCTTTGTGATTTCATCGTAAAGGAGTCTATTCCACACGAAACCAAGTCAGTCAAACCTTTTTTCAAGAAGACAAATGTCCAAGAAGAGGTGAAAGGGAGGAGAAGAAAAACTCACGTCGTCAAAAAGTCGGCATAGTCCTCGCCCGTCACCTGCGTGGCAAAGTACTGCGCCGCGAGCTGGAACTTGTTCCCCTGGGGCGCCTTGGCGGCGAGCGCGTCGGCGCACTCCTTGAGCAGGCGCAGGGCGTAGGCCTTGTCGACGCGCTTGCCCTCGGCCGTGGACACGCCGTGCTTGACCCATTGCCAGAGCTGGCTGCGCGAGACCTCGGCGGTGGCGGCGTCCTCCCTGTATTCAACCATCGTTAGTTACCAACGTCGTCTGTCCAAGTTTTCTTAAGGAAAAGGATCATCTGTCCCCTATGGTGGGGGGGTTTCAAACTTACATGAGATAGTTGATGGGAACGCAGCCGACGCCTCGGATCCAGGCCTCCATGTAGCCCAGGCCAATGTTGAGGTTCTTCTTGATGCCCTCCTCGGTGATGCTTCCGGGGACGTTCATGTTGAGCAGGTCGTTCTGGGTGATCTTGACGTCCTCCCGACGGACAAACAGCTGGTTGGGCGTGGGCATGTACTTGTTGAAGATGTCGGTGGCGATGCTGGCGAGGGCGGGGTGAGCGACCCAGGTGCCGTCGTGGCCGGCGCGGACCTCGCGCAGCTTGTCGGCGCGGACGTTCTCCATGGCCTTGTCGTTGGCCTCCTTGTCGTCCTTGATGGGGATCTGGGCGGCCATGCCGCCCATGGCGTGGACGCCGCGCTTGTGGCACGTCTGGATGAGGAGCTTGACGTAGGCGTCCATGAAGGGGACGGTCATGGTGACGGCGGAGCGATCGGGCAGGACGAAGTTGGGGTTGTTGCGGAACTTCTTGATGGTGCTGAAGATGTAGTCCCAGCGGCCGCAGTTGAGGCCGGAGCTGTGGTCGCGGAGCTCGTAGATGATCTCGTCCATCTCAAAGGCCGCGAGAATGGTCTCGATCAGGACGGTGCCCCTGATGGTGCCGCGGGGGATGGCGATGTAGTCCTGGGCAAGGTTGAAGACGTCGTTCCACAGACGAGCCTCCAGGTGGCTCTCCATCTTGGGCAGGTAAAAGTACGGGCCGAAGCCCTGCTTCTGCGACTCGACGGCGTTGTGGAAGAAGTACAGGCCAAAGTCGAACAGGCTGCCGGAGATGGGCTCGCCGTCGACGAGGAGGTGCTTCTCCTCCAGGTGCCAGCCCCGAGGACGGACAATGAGGGTGGGGAGCTTGCGGTCGGTGCGGAGCTTGTACTCCTTGGCTCCCTGCTTGAAGTCGACCTGGCGGCGGACGGCGTCATACAGGTTGACCTGGCCGTTGATCATGTTGTCCCAGGTCGGGGCGCTTGAGTCTTGACGTTGCTTCCCGTTAGCCGAGGCGTCTTCTTCACAGCTCTACACCCACACATATTTCGGCGCTCATACCTTCGAAATCAGCCATATACGTCCAGACGTCAGAGTTCAGGGCGTTGACGACCATCTTGCGGTCCGTCGGGCCCGTGATCTCAACGCGCCGGTCGACCAGACCAGGCGCGGGAGCGGCTCCCTTCCATGTGGGATTCTCACGGATCTGCTTGGTCTCGGGCAGGAAGTCGGGCAGGACGCCGCGGTCCAGCTCGGCCTGGCGCAGCTTGCGGCGCTCGAGCAGGTTCTTGCGGGTGGCGTTGAAGGAGCGATGCAGAAGGGTGAGGAAGGCTAGGGCGGGAGGCGTGAGGATCTTGCGGTGGCCTTCGTCGACCTTGCCGAGGATGGTGACGCCCTGGAGGATACTTTCTGTGGATGCCATTGTGATAGATTGTGGTGGTGGTTTTGGGTCAAGAAAGGTATGTCGTTTCGGATGGTGTTTGATGATGATGGTGAAGAAGAGGCGTGAGAGAGAGTGTGTGTGTGTGTTGCCAGAGGATGAGATGAGCCAGGAGGTGAGATTCCAATAGCGGTATTAAGTTCAATTGGCGGGCTGGAGCAAGCGGCAATCAATGATGGGCTGAGGCAAGCTTTCACATGTCAGTGACAATCTGTCCCACGGCAAGCTTCAAGCTTCAGCTCCCCCCGGAATTGGATTGGAGTAGCTTGAAGGAGGGAAGAGGCCGAACTCACAGGATATGTCAAAAGACGCGATGATCCGACTTGGGCCGCGTTGATCTTCACAAAGTCGGAAAAGCTGTAGAGTAGGGACAATCAAATACTGAGCAAAGCAAGAAGCAGTCAGAAGAGAGGAGAAAAGAAAGGCGAGCCATGGCTGATATAGCTCGCTGGTTGCCAGAGGCCATCGACGCCTCCAAGGTATGACGCATCCACCAGCACCCTCCCCAAGTGCCCCCAGATCGGCAAAACGATTAGCCCTCCGCCGCTCCTTATCGTTTCCCGCCATATCATGCATCTACTTCAATTGTTTGTACTTTTTCCAACAGAAAGACTCGAACAAACCGTCCCCCTCCCTTTCATTTGAAAAAAGCTATAGGTACCTGCACCCGTCCGTCCATGCCACGCTCCATTCACCCTTCATCCTCCGTCATAACTACCAAGGTCAGGCAAAAGGCACTATTCCGTAAATCTTCGTACATGCAAGCTGCCCATCCAATCCAATCGCAGCCGCCAGCCCGGCTTCTTTTCTGGGGTTTCGGCACCTGTCGGTCTGGTCCCCCCAAGCTGGAGAAGAGCCTCGGGTGGACGGATGGGGACGCCAAGTACTCGGTACCTGCAGGGCGGGGAAAAGGCTGTTCTGGCATGTGCTTCTCAGCGCTCCTCGATGACCTTGAATTGCTGCAAACGGGCCTGGAAGAAGACGCCTGGGGGGACGAGACTGCGGGGTAGTTCTAGTCTGCCGAGAGGTACCGTGTACAAAGTTGGAAGCCGGACAACCTTGTTGCAGCTGGGCACAAGGCTCTAGAATGGACGGCAAGTAAACGTCATGTCATTGACCGTTTTACCTTTGGGGAGCTTTTATCGATAGCCACGGGCTGGTTTGAAGCACCATCTGATCATCTGATGGGCCTTTTCCAAGGGCTCTTGCCGAGGGACTGTTAAGAGCTGAGACCGAGCGTGTACGAATCCGGCAGCATGGCCAACACCACGGAGGATTGTGTTTTGATCAGGCAACTTCCCTCTCATGTTCAATGAAGCTATCCAGCTCTCTCCATTCTGACGGCATATTCGAGACACCATACATCTATATCGAGAATAATTCTGCACCATCCAATACCGATGATAGAGCAGTCAAACACAAAGTAAGATGGAGCCCCCTCCACGAACTTCCAAGGCATCCCATCAACCCATCCATCCACCTCACCGAGTGGCAAAATTACATACGATATATACCATCAATCATCAAGCTCGGCCCCAGAAATCACCTGCTGATCTCCGTCCCATCTACATTAACTACTCCAAAATCCCCAACTTACATGGGGGACGCGTTGACAACCAACCCATCACTAACTAACCGAGGCTCTAAGGCGCCTCCCCCCTCCAAACCCGTTCCCTGGGCCGCAGCTTTGCCCATGGCCCGAGACTTTCCGATATACCGCCATCCTCGTCCCTTCTGTATCGACGCTGATACAAAACATTGCATCGTCGTCTTGACAGTTGACTCGAGTCTGCTCGGCACCGGCCGGTTTACACGCTGCGGGTCTGGTTCCTTGTCCCATCTCCAGCTGTAGCGCACTATTGCCCCATGCTGATAGCCTCGCCCCTGTATCTTCTACGCTTATTCTTTCATCCGACTATCTTTGCTTTGTCTGTCTTCTCTCCCGCAATCAAACCAGCACCTGAATCGTTTTCATGATATATAACTCTAACAAATGGAATACAGTCCAGCTATGGGAAGCAATGCTCGTGTCATCTAATTACAGCCGATTCCACAACCAGCCTGTTGACCTTGTAGCTCTCCCACGGCCGAGATCAGCTGCCATCTCTCTGCCGACTTCTCTCAACCCCGAGAAGAGGCCAATCCATCCAGATTCCCAAATCCAGCTCTCACTTACAAGTAATGTACAATGAAGAAAGCCAATGGTCAAGCTGCACACCCTGTTCCAGTCCATTGATCCAACAGCATTAAAAGTATCCTCATAGCAGCGTTGCTGCTGCCACATCATTACCACTGCACTCCAATACCCCTTTTCGTTCTCCTTTTCGAAATGTTGATTAAGAAAGAAAATATTAGCTTCAATCGTGTCGATGTTTGTCGCAAACTGTAGCTCGAATCCAGACAAGATACCATTCTCTCCAGCCACTGTGTCTGGGAAAAGTCCCTTTCGTGGTGCCGTATAATCAGTCGTCTTCGATGTATTCACCACACCCACCCCGCGGTACATCCCAGGCATCCAAGCAGGGCGGTAAGAAGAGAATATCGAGAAAGTTCAGAGCGCGTGGCGTTACGAGTTCAGAGTCTTGATCATCATCTTCTGCTTCCTTGGGTCCTTAACCACCAGATTGCGATCGGTAAACACAATCCTCATCGTATCCACAACCTTGTGGAAGCTGCTCGCGGCACCTCGCTCTTGGGTGAAGCGGATGATGCTGAGCGGCTGTTTCTTACCGTGCTCAATCACCGTCATCACCTCCGCGGCGAATGCAACTGGTTTGAGGTTCAGGCCTGTGTTATCCGATAGGTCAGCATCGTCGACGACATTTAGGTTGCAGGCCGGAGTACTTACAGTTCTCAGATCCGACTCGCGCAAAGATAATGTTGCGTTCCTTATCCACCTGTATATCCGTCATGCCGTATTTGCGCCACTTGCGCAGCAACATGGCCACCTCCTGTCGGGTACGCTTGCGTGACAGGGTCATGCAGATGTGGCTCGTTGCAGGTTTGACGCGGAAAAGCCTAGTAAGCCAATTCTGCTTCACCTCAATGTTGCGGCTGCTGCCCGACGATGATTTATGCCATCCTTGTCCTTTCTTATCGGCTATGGCCGTGGCCGTCTCCTGAGTTGGACTCGCGTCATCTATCGTCACCCAGTTGGTCAGCTCAGAAGTCCGTAAACTAAACAAGCCGTAGTCATTCTTACCGTCGATAATCTTCGAATCCCTATTCCGATTGCTCTTCCAGAATGGAAAGCTAAAGTTCCTCTTCTTGGACGAGTTGGCAGTAGTAGAGCTCGAGGCAGACTGGCGCGTCTCGCACGAGACGGTTCGCTGCTTGCCATCCTTTGACTCTGCCAAAGTCTCGCCGTCCGTTTCAGGCTTGAACGACCGCCTGAACCATGATGTCTTCTTCTTCACCGGGCTGTGGTTGCCAGACTGTGAGGCATCCTGCGCATCAAGCTCATGTTTTCTGACTATACTCTCCCTCTGCTTCCGCTGGGTGTGTAGAGGTTGCACAAGGCTTTCCTTTGTTGGCTTCTTTCGCACGTTGAGTGGTTCCGGAATTTTGACCGGGCTGAGTGCGCTTGGCGAGTTGACAACCCTGATCGAGGTTTCGACGTGGTTCAGATAATCGACGCCACTCATGGGACGGCTCGTCTTATTTGACGACGTTTGCGGTGGCGCCGATACGATCCTTGTCTTCTCCGCGTTAGCAGCGGTGACACCCGGGTTCTCACTGATGCAAGGCAGTGTGCCCGTTCGTCGACTGACATGGCCGTAGGCCGGCGCGGACACAACGCGGCGGTCGGATTGATTTGAAAGCATCAGAGGTAGAGCCAGCCGGTCAATCTGCTCCATCAGACTGTCACCGTCGCCAGCTCTCGAGGCCGGTCGAGAGTTCACCGCAGTAGTCTGCTGACTACCAAAGACACTTTCAGATGGAAGTGGCGGCAAGGGACGGGTGCTCCACGACTTGTTGGAAAACTCCGAGGGCGCCGTTGCCTCCGAGGGAGTATCAATCGTGAAAGAAAAAGGCGTCGAATCCCGCTGCTTTCTGTCCACATCTGCCACCGATCCGGTAAAGGATTCATCTTCGATGAGGGAGCACCTAAACGCCTCATCACAGTCCTTGGCGATGTTGTTGCTAAAGTGACGCAGCTCTTCGTTAAACAGAAGCGAGGCGTCCTTGAAGACGGGGGCGCCTTTTGCTCTGGGATAAGTACCATCAGGCAGCTGGGGCATTTCAGGAGTTGGAGACCGGGCTCTCGAAGGAACCGGGTGGGTGAAACCATTGGTGGCGACGGAATTTTCACGTGAGGCAGGAGGGCCTCGTTGAACTTGCGCTGCAGAGGCCGATCGCTTGCGGATGTGAGAGAAGTCGACGCCTCGCTTGTGCCGCAGACCAGGGCCGTGCCTCTGTGGCGTGCCTTGTCTGGTGTGCAGGGAGCTCATGGATCCCCTTGATGATGGAGGACGGCCGATGTTTGTTCGGACAGAGCTGGCTTGTCGACGACGAGTGGCGTTGGAAACGCTGCGTGTTCTAGTCGACTGCGATGTCTGCATCATCTCGCCATTGCGATGGACGGTGATCCTCGCATGGCTAGCCTGCGAGCCGCAAGTCTTTAGCATTCGGCTGCCTCTGAATGGGTCGTAGCTCTGGACAGTCCCGTCCTCGGTCTCTGCCGCTGTCGAGATGACTGTGAAGCGGGAGATGGATCTACCGTGACCATTGGCTCTGGGCTGGGAGAACTCGCATGTCGAGACACGCTTCCTCCAAGAGTTTGGCTTGAGATGATGGTAGTCGCTCATCGAGTGAGACAGCTCCGGCTTGAAGTCCTCAAGTTGTTGCTCACGGTAGTTGTACAGCAGCCAGTAGAATGCTTTTTGGTCATTGGGCCTAGATACAGTCACAGTCAGCATGGGCTATTACAAGACAGAGCTTCTATTGCGAGATCAGTCACTTACTCCTTGGAAGCCAACTTCATCTCCAGGTCGTCATCGCTGAACATGTGCCATAGAGAGCGTAGCTGTCGCAGCAGCTGAGGATCAATCTGCTGCCGCGGAATGGGAGCATACTGAAAACCCTTGCGCGTGTCAGGAGGCTGTCCAGTGTTGTGGCCAAAGTCGTCCAGATAGTTGTATTTCTGAATCAGCGGGTGCTGCCAAATCTGCTTCATAGTGATACGTTGATCAGGGTTGACCTGGAGCATGCGGCGGATGAGATCTTCGGCTTCGGGGCTGAGAAAGTCGGGCATCTTGTATTGCCCCTTCTTTGTTTTGCCCATCATGACACGCAAATCAGGGTCGTCAAACGGTAGGGTTGCGGACAGCATGGCGTACAGGATGACGCCCATGCTCCAGATATCGGCTCTGTCTCCACGATACTGTCGATTCTTGAGAAGCTCAGGAGCTGCATAGTGAGGGCTGCCGCAAGCCGTGGCCAGTCGATGAGTGGCTGTCTGGTGAAGAGCCGCCATGCCAAAGTCGGCGATTTTGATCTGGAGATCGGCGGTGATCAGGATGTTCTCAGGCTTCAGATCCCGATGGCAGACATTGAACGAGTGGCAATAGGCAATGGCGCTGATCATCTGGCGGAAGAAATAGATGGCCACTTCCTCAGAGAGCCGTCCCTTTGTGTTGATAAAGGTAAAAAGGTCGCCTTGGTCAATGTATTCAAGTATGAGATAACTGGACAATCAAGTCAGCAAATTGATCAGGGGCCAATCCAGTAAGCAAGGGGAAGTTGCGTACATTTCAGAGCGATTCTCCCATATGTCATAGAGCTTCATGATGTTGGGATGTTCAATAAGCTTAAGAATGGCAACTTCGCGCTCAATCGCCACGGGGACACGCATCTCGCCATTGACTTCGGGGAGGCTCGAATCCCACTTGCTGAGGGCTGCGAGGCTGCTGTCTTGGACAAGATACGCCATCCGACGGTTGACAATCTTGACGGCGGCGAGCTGTTTGGTGATGCTGTGGCGGCATAACCGAACGCGAGCCGACGATCCTTTTCCAAGCGTCTTTCCCAGCTGCCATGGCCCAATGTGCGTCTTGTAGTTCTTTCTGCTGTTGCTGCTGGAAGTGGAGGCGTAAGAGGCCTGGGAAAGACGCTTCGCAGCCTCTGCTGGCTGTTGTCCTCCCTGGGCAACAGGAGGAGCATAGGCGTCATAAGCCGCTGGCTGGCCGCGGGGGTTGGGCTGCATGCTCTGGTCAGGATAGTAGTTGGAGCATTGAGCGGCACCAGATTGGCTGCGGCGTGCCTTGGAGTTGTGGTAATCGTGAGCAGGCGCGGGAATGTTGAGGCGATTGGTGGTTTCGGCAAGAGGCGCACGATGTTTTGACGTATATTCGGCCATGTTTATCGCCGCGAGTTGCAGGATTAGCACATAATACTCGAGAACAGCCCAGAGAAAGGATTGGCTGCGATACGACTGCGTAGCGGCAAGATGCTGATTATTTAGTAAGGGAATTGGTAACTGACGATGCGTTGAAAGAGGGAAAACACAAGACGATGCTGTAACGAGAGTGGGATGGAACAGGGAAATCAGGAGAAGGAAGAGTCCTGCAAAGGCTGGAGGGGAAGACGTGGCAGGCGACGTGCGTGAGAAGAGGAGAAGGAGAAAAAGCAGCAGTAGGGCAAAAGAACCGGATGGAAGGCATGCCAGCTGGTGCACAGGCGAGGAATGCAGCGCTGGCCCGCTGGCAGTGGCAGCTTTTGGGTGCTGGCAGAGCAGCCGGCGGGCAGTCACAGGGGGCAAAGGCGCTGGAATTTGGGATCGGACGGGGTCGCGTCGTTCTTCAGAGACGTGAAGTTGGGATGTTTGCTAGTTTGCAAGCGAGGAATCGCTGGGACGCGCGTGGTGTTTAGTTTCAGCTCATAAATATCGCGATGCATTCCACATGTGGGTGTTGTGCGATGGAATTCAGGACTGAGACGAGTGGGACGGCCGATCACACACAGTACCGTAGCTACCTTAGTATATCATCCGAATGCCAAAAACACAAAGGGCAAGCAGCAATGTGGCGATTAGAGCTTTACTAGAATTGTATGCTCTACTCACCTTGGAGACGAGATGCAGCAACTCTCGGCTCATCGCCTCGCTGTCATATCGGATGACGCGCTGGACAAGAAGCTGCTAGCTCCAACTCTCGAGCTGCACGAAACCTGGGCAGATACGCTCTTAAAGGCAAAGACAAGTACATCAGGCACATCTCTTCTCTGGTTAGATGCTCTTCATTTCGCTGTGCAGACTTCGGAGAACTTCGCATAGATATGTAAATGATCTCTCGATAGTGTCATACCAAAGAGCACCGTGAAAGAAACCAAAGTTGCAGCATGTCCTTGTGTAAAACATTGACACAAGCCGTTCTTTGTCCACGGTTGCTGTCATATATTACTCCTACCCAACAAGGAATCATACACTTGGTACCTAACGCAATTATCAGCTTCGGAGCGCCGTCCGCATTGCAGAGGAAAGTCTAGAGAAAGAGAGGCAAAACCCAGCAGATGCTCGCGAAGCAAGGGATGAGGTTAAACATGACTAAGCCATCCGGTCAACGATCGGCCCCTCCTGTCCAAGTTTGGCATTCAGATTCCAAGTGCCGAACAGCTTAGGTAATCAGAATCCGTCCCTCCACTCAACACACCCATGGCCCTCGTCTTCAGAGAATCCTCCTTCAATATTCTGCCCGTTTGCTTCTCTAGCTCTTCCATGTCCCGCGTTGCCAGCACAACCCGGCCCATCAGGCAAGTTGGACCACTCTGGCAACAGCAAAGTTCTCAGCTATGGCCTTTCCAAAGCCAGTACCGGCTCCTGTAACGAGCACGGTCTTGCCCAGAGCAGCACCATGGAGCCGTCCCGGGATCAACGAAGGGGTAAACATCTGAATGATGCGGTGTGCCCACGACCAAATCCATGAGTAATCCACAAGGATGATGTGTGAAGTAGACAGCGTCGTGACTCATGATGGTATATCGACAGGCGAGAGAACACAGACAAGTCAGTGACAACGGACAGACATATGATTAGAAGAGACTGTGAACTGGGCATTCTTGTATTAATTATCAGCTCAAGCCCATGTGAAGCTTCGTATGTCTCAATGGACACACTTTAGTACTAACCATGACATGTATGACAAGCAATGGGGCGTTCACGAACTCTATACCTAGTAGTAGGTAGCCGTGAGTATGCTGCCGTACAGAGGGATAGGTTGATAGGTGTAATCTTCGTCTCACCGAACATATCGGATACAGAGATCCTGTATCAGGAACCAGCGTAATTGGTTTAGTGGTAAAATTCTCCGTTGCCATCCGCAACGTCGGGGAGCCCTGGGTTCGATTCCCAGATTACGCAAAGATTCTCTTTTTGTTGCTGTTCACAAATCTTTCTTTTTCTTTTTTCTTTTCTTCCTTCTTTCATCATCAAGGTTGTGATGAGGTCTTAACAGGTAAATCCCAAGAGGCGAACACGCTAGTAAAGGAATGCTCTCTGATTCGAGTGATTTGAAATTGCTTGTGATACCGGCTTTGTTGTAGTGGAAACGGGAGTGCGAGGTTTTTTTCGGATATTCCAATTGTTGGTCTGCTCCTGGTAGTGCCTAAGGTATAATGTTCCGACAGCAGTGTGGTACATGTCACTCTTGGTAGAGTGAATCACTGCAATTTATATCAGCTGCTGGAAGATTGTTCCTCGTTAAGTACAGACTGATACAGCAGAACGATGCTCCGAAGCCTTACACAGAAACAATGAGGAGTGAAGTTTAAGGATCTACTTTGACTGAAGAAATCTGGCGTAAATCCTCCCCGTGCACGCAAATGGGCAGTTGTCTAAGGTATCAGGTCATGATTTACAGAGAGTTCTAGGGTTGGTGCTTTGAGAGAACGTTTGGCGGGGGAAGGCGCTACGATCTGGCGTTAATTAATGGTGGGGTCAAAGAACGCGGAACGCGTCTCACGAACTTTCCAACCTGCACCTCACAACCTACCTCACACAACCTACCTCTCACCACCAGCTTCGATGCAATCACCAGCGCCACCTGCGGTCGAAATTCACTGCCATACTTGACCCCCCCCCATCCATATTTGCGAAAGAACGACCGGATGAGTTCCAGCATCTCGCGCCGGCGGCGGCGTGAGGACGAGGATGAAGACGAAGACGGCAGCGGCACCGAAGGTCACAACTCGCCCTCTGGCGACGACAGCTTCAAGCGACGACGACTGGACTCAGACACCGAGGACGGCCAGCCGCATCACAGAACCGCTCAGAGAACGACAAGCAGAGCAAATGGCAAAAGCGCGGGCAACGACATGGGCAGCTTCCAGCCAGGCGCCATCGTCAGAGTCACCGTTCACAACTTTGTCACCTACGAACACGCCGTCTTCTTGCCCGGTCCGAATCTCAATATGGTCATTGGCCCCAACGGCACCGGAAAGAGCTCTCTAGTCTGCGCCATTTGCCTCGGGCTTGGCTATAGTCCCCGACATCTGGGTCGCGCGGGCCAGGTCAAGGAGTTTGTCAAGCATGGCAAGGACACGGCGACCATCGAGATTGAGCTCTACAAACGGCCCCAAGATCGCTCTAATTGGGTTGTTCGAGTCCAGATTCGCCGCGAGCAGAACATCCAGAAATGGTGGCTGAACGGCAAGGAGACAACGCTCAAGAAGATCCAGTCTTTAATGCACGCACTCAAGATTCAGGTCGACAACTTGTGCCAATTCCTCCCACAGGACAGAGTTGTCGAGTTTGCCGCCTGTACTCCAGTGCAGCTGCTGCACGAGACTCTACGTGCCGCTGCTCCTGAAGAAATGCAGCAGTGGCACCAACAGCTCCAAGGGCTCCACAAAGACAAAAAGGAAATGGCTGACACCGTGCTTGCCGACACTGAAACCCTCCAAAATCTCCAATCTCGTCAGCAAGGCTTACAAGCAGACGTGGATAGAATCCGCGAGCGGGAGGTCATTCAGGAGCGGGTGGACGATCTAAAGTGTGCCCTTGTGTTTGCTCAATATCAAGAAGCTCGAAACGATTACAAAGCAGCAAAGAATCGCAAAAAGGAGGCCGAGAACAAGCTGAGGCGCCTCGAGCGGGAGAGCGGCCCGTCCTTGGAAGCAGTCAATCAGAAACAGGTCTACGCTCAAGCAATTGAGGCGGCGATTCCATCGAGGGTAAAGGCTGTCAAAGACGCCCAGTTAGCGACCCAGATCTTGGCGCAAGAGATCAGTGCGGCAGTTGACGATGTCAAGGAATGGTCTAATAAGATCGATGCGGAACGCAAGAGGTTTGATGAGAAGAAAAAAGAGGTGGCGGCATCGAGATCGAGAATCACAACGCTACAAGCAGAATTGAAGAAACGACCATCAGAATTCAACGGAGCGGAATGGAACCAGAAGATTGTAAGTTGCTATCTTGTCCCTTTTGGCACTTGCTCGCCCACGCTTCCATCACTTCCCCTATAAGCTAACATACCTGTGCTTCCGTGTAGCGAGCCGAAGAACACAACCTGCGTGAAGTTGAAGCGGAGCAGCGTCGTCTTCGCGAGGAGATGAACAGAGTCAAAGAGGAGGGGAAGAGGAAGCAGGAGGAGGCTCACAAGATAAAGGCGGACATCGAAGCCCTTGATACGCAAGAGGGCCAGCAGCTAAGCTTCATGCGAAGACACTTCCCGGAACTCGCTCAGGCTTATGACTGGGTCCAGGCGAACCAACACGAATTCGAAAAGGAAGTTTTTGGCCCGCCCATGTTGTGCTGCTCGATCAAGGACGACCGCTTCTCCGACCAGGTCCAGTCCCTGTTGCAACAGGACGACTTCCTCTGCTTCACGGCACAGACCAAACATGACTACAAGAAATTGACCAATCAGATCTACCGCGAGATGAGCTTATCTGCCGTCGTCAGGACTTGTTTGCAGCCTCTGACGGCTTTCAGGCCTCCAATCAGCAACGAAGAAGCTCAGTCTCTTGGTCTGGATGGATTTGCCATCAACTATCTGGATGGTCCTGAGCCCGTCCTTGCCATGCTTTGCGCTGAAAAGAGGCTGCATCAGTCCGGTATTTCGCTGAGAGACCAAAACGATGATGAGTATGAGAAGCTCGTCCACAATGGCAAGATCAACCAATGGACAGCCGGGAACCAGCAGTACCAGGTTCGTCGACGGAAAGAGTATGGCCCTAATGCAATGACAACGATCACCAAGAGGATCCAGCGGGGCAGATTCTGGACGTCACAGCCCGTCGACTCCCAAGAAAAGGTTGAACTGAACAGGCGGCTCACAGAGATCAACGGGGAACTGGAGATCCTGAAGACTGAGATCAAGGAGTTGAGAGAAAAGAACGGGCCCTTTGAAGAGCAAAAAGAGGCGTTGCAGACAAAAATAGTGAGTCATCCTTCCATACCAGGCCAAGTCAAACGAGCGCTCTGCTGACACCAGCAAAGGAACAATTGAGAAACGAGAAGAATGCTCTGCAAAGAGAGTTCAACAAGTGGCAGTTGATACCGCAAAAGCTAGGTTAGTATTTCGAGGACTCAGTCTGCAACCCCTTATTGTTCTTGGACGGGTCTGCTGACCATGACAGAATCCGAGGAACGACACAAGGAAGCAAACGAAGATGCCATGCGCGAGGCGCGAGAAAAGATCATTGACCACGGCTTTGAATGGGACAAGGCAGTAGTAGAGCGAGCGAAACTTGTTCTTCGCCATCAAGAAGCTCTCGGTCAGATCGCAAAGGCCCATGACGACCTTATCGAGGCCAAGATACGCCTCATTGAGGCGAAGTCCGACGTCGAGGGGCTCAAGGCTCGCAATTCCAATATAATGGAGGAGCTGGAAAATGAGAGGAGCATCGTTCAGCAAGCTGCCGAGGATAGCGCTCGTGCCAGAGAGTTGGCTACGCGGCTGGGCGACCAGGTTACGGAAATCCTGCGCGAGAACCGCGACAAGAGTGAGACATACAGTGCGCTGGTCGGGGACAGAACGGCGGCGGCGATTGCGATGGAGATCTCCGCCGAGGAAGCGAACCTCGAGCTCATCCACGCGGCCAACCCCAACGTCATCCGGGAATTTGAGAAGCGCGAGCAGGAAATCGCCAAGCTGCAGAAGAAGATGGAAACAGCAAACAACAAGCTTGCGAACCTGAGCCAGCAGCTGAGTGATCTGATGGGCAAGTGGGAGCCCAGGCTGGACGCTCTTGTCAGCAAGATCAACGATGCCTTTGCCTACAATTTTGAGCAAATTAGCTGTGCCGGCGAGGTCCGCGTCAACAAGCACGAAGATTTCGACCAGTGGGCCTTGGACATTATGGTCAGATTTCGGTATGTTCCCTCCTATTCACTACCTTGACTCTCACCAACTATCCACATGCTCCCATCCACAAACTGCAGAAAAGCTAACCAAGAACCCAACAGTGAAAATGAAACGCTCCAGCAGCTCAACGCCCACCGGCAATCCGGCGGCGAGCGCGCCGTCTCCACAATCTTCTTCCTCATGGCCCTCCAGTCCATGGCGCAGTCGCCCTTCCGCGTCGTCGACGAGATCAACCAGGGCATGGACCCGCGCAACGAGCGCATGGTGCACGAGCGCATGGTGGAAATCGCCTGCCGTGAGCACACGAGCCAGTACTTCCTCATCACGCCCAAGCTGCTCACGGGCCTGCGGTACGACCCCAAGATGAGGGTGCTGTGCATCGCCAGCGGGGAGCACATGCCCAAGGACGGGACCAAGCTGGATTTTGGCAAGTGCCTCAAGATTCAGAAGAGGCTCATGGCCGCTGCGGCTTGATGGGGATGAGTCTGTTTCTCTTTTTCATAATACAAGACTTTGGGTGGGGGGGCTTTTGAGGTTTTAGTTGTCTTTAATGAGCTATGAAAGGGGCGTTGGAGGGCTTCTGATATTGCACAAGCATTGATTGAGCGCTAGATAGCAACTGCGTACGTAGATACTGGAACCCAAGCAATGTATAAAGGGTGATAGAAATAGCACTCATGCGTTAGGGTGCGAATCCAAGTTCCCATTACACAAAGCCCCCGGGCCCTGTCAAGTCTTTCACTTGGCCATACCTATCCTCAAAGCGTCGCCAAGTCACGAAAACCAGGGGCCACTTCAGGTGAAGTTTGTTTATATAGAACCGGGCAATTCATCTCTCATCATTTAGTAAAATAGTTTAAAAGAAGAGTTTAAGCCAAACCATGCAAAGAAAGATCACACGGTTCAAGGGACGAATTGGTCCAAAGTGTGAAAAAGCACACCCCCCTTCCACCCCCCTTTTGCATGATTCTTGTTCGGAAAAAGAAAGAGGAGACGAAGAAGAAGTGAGGCAGGCCAGGGTGGAAAAGACCATGCTGTTGATGCCTCCACCAATTATTGTACATACAAAGGCAAAGGAAGGGGGCGTTCAATCCCCCTCTCCATCAAAGGGTGACGCAGAAAACCAACACACACAACAGGAGCACGACACGAGACAAAAGTTGCAAGAAAATAGAATGGACAACTGAATGAGAAGAAAAAAAAGAACAGATAAACGATATCGCATTTCAGAAATAACAAAAGATCCACATCCCTCCTTGTAGAGAGCAAGCGCATGCGTCGTACGCACCAGGCCGTTATGTGTATCGCATCGTGACAGGTTTAACCAAGGCTCGTCTTCAAACGAGCCGTGTAAATCGAAAAAATAAAACGAATTAAAACCGGTAGGAAAGAGAGAAGAGGAATCAAACAGTTCGAGGTGTACTGGTAAACAACAATGATATTGGGGCATTTCTCAGTGACGTGATATTATAAGTTCGGCCATTTCGAACGGCGAACCCTGAGCGACCATCCTCGGATAATCAAGGGCGGTGGATCAAGACCAAAGCTCCTTCAGAAGATGGCGTGGGAACGTCGCAATGAAGACCTAAAGGGCGTGGCAGAGGCGCCTGGCTGGGTATGGGATGTCATGCAAACGTGGCAGTATCCAAAACATTAGCCTTGCTTGGGCTGGTCCACGTCAGAGTGGTTGTCCGAATCAAGTCGCTTCCTCCATTCCGCAATGCTGCCGCTCATGCCCATGCCGGTAGGGGTATCATCCTCTCTCTTGGGGGCGTTTGCGGAGTCGAAATCGAAGTTGGTGCTCAGGCGGTAATTCTTGTTGGTCGTCTCCCAGTGGTTCCGGAGAGTCTCGAGCTCGCTGGCGAGGTTGTCAAGCGCAGCGCTGTTTCTGTTCCCTGCGTTATCCCCGTAGATGCTCTCGCCTTCGGAGCTTTCGTGGCGGTGGTGGCCCAAGAGACTGCTGAGGCCGCTGAGGCCCAAGCCATTTGCGGCCGCCAGCCCTTCAGCGTTTATGCTGACGACATTCCGGCTGCGGCGACGGTAGGTATCGACAGAGTGCTCGACCTGGTCTAGCAGCAGAGAGACCTTCTGTTCGGCATCAGAGGCGCGCTGCTCGAGGAGGGCATTCTCCGTCTGGAGCTGTTCCAGCTCCTTGCGCTGTGTGGCTAGGGACTTGTTGGCCTCGTCCCGTTGCCGCTGGCTCTCTGCCAGCTCGGCTTTTAGGTTTTCAAGGTTCTTTTCTAGCCGGGCGGCGGAGTCACGGAACTCGACTTCGAGGTCCGATATCTTGGTCTGCAGGTCAGCACGTTCCTTGCCCCACCCTGCCGAACCAGGCTCGCCCGGGCCGGCCTTGAGTCTATCCTCAAGCTCCACAACATCCGCCTTCAAGCGGCCATTCTCCGTCTTGTAGCGAGCCAGCTGCTCCTGGAGCTGCTTCAGCATCTTCTCCGTTCCCTTGACATAATGCACAGCTGACTGGTAATCGCTCTCCAGCTGAGAGAGCTTCTCGCGATACGCGGTTTCAGAGTCTTGGGCTTGGATGGCGAACGTCTGCTTAGCCTCTTCATGAGCGGCGTTGATGCTAGCCAACTGAGCCTCGAGCTCGCGCAGGCGGCTCTGCTCTGCTGGTGAATTTGTTCGTGGGCTCTGGAAGCCGCGCGATCGGACAGCACCAGTGGGGCTGATGCCTCGCTCGACGAGAATGTCCCTGAGTGCGTTGTGCTGTACCGTCATGGCGTTCGTTTCCAGCTGCTGGGCGGCCAACTGGTTCTTGAGGTCAGAGTTAGCGGCCTGGAGGCTCTGGTTCTCCCGCAGAGCGGACTGGAGCTGTCGTCGAATGCCAACACCCTCGCGGCTGGACTGCTCCTGGTACTGCTCAAGCCCAGCGATGCGCTCTTCCGCGCTACGCAATCTATCGGCAGCAATATCCGCTTCCTGCTGGTACTTCTTGACCAAAGCGTTCGCAGCAGCGAGCTGGTTCTGGAGTGCAACTGCGCGCTCGGCATCTGCGTTGTGCGTGACCGACTCGTCTTTCGAAGCGAGCTTCTGGAGCCCAGACAGAACTGCTTCCCGATGGGTTCGTGCTTCGTTCGCGTGCTTCTCGGCAAGCTCTTCGGCATCTCGCAGGCGCTGACTCACAGCAACAAGTTCTGCCGTGCGCGCCTCATGCTCAGCCTTGAGCTTGTTCAACTTGCCTTCGACCTTTTCTCTCTGGGCTCTCTCCTCCTCAAGCTTGGTCTCAAGATGGGCGCTTGCATCCTGCGACGCTACAATGGCGGCCCTGAGAGACTCAAACGTCTCCTCCCGATCATTCGATGAGTCGGCAACTTCGTCAAGCTTTCTTGAAAGAGCCTCCTTTTCGACCTTGAGCAGTTCCAGGGCAGCCACCGCCTCGGTGCTGGCCATTGCCTGCTCCCGGGCTTCACGCTGCGCAAAGTGAAGCTCTGCCTTGAGACGCTCCACTTCTCCGGAGGTTTGCTGCTTGTACGCCTCCAGATCGATCATGCGCTTCTGGGTGGCCGCTGTCGTGTCGTCAGCAAGCTTGCGAGCTCTCCTCTCGGCATCGAGCTCGGATTTTGCTGACTCCAGCTGCGTCTGGAGACTCCTTTGGTGGTTGAGGGCAGATGCCAGCTTCTTGCTCAGCTCGGCTGACCGGGCACCAAACTCGTCTCGCTCGCCATCAGGCTGAGGCGTGCTGGCTGCACTGCCACCGCTCTGAGCAGCCAGCTTGGCTTTGGCGTAGACTGCTTCTTGAATGGCGACGTCTCGCTGCCTTTCCGCTTCTGCAATCTGCTTGGCAGCAACGATGGCTTGCTTGTCCACAGCGTTCTGCACGTTTGCCAACTCTGTCCGCATAGCCAAAAGGGCCTCGATCAAGGGTCGGTCCTCGTCATCGAAGGACTCAACAGCCTTTCCATCGAGTGCTGGTCCCATGGAGGGGCTGGGAACGTAGCCCGCTTTCCTGGCCAGCTCGAGCTCTGAAGCATACCACGCATTCCGATTACGGGCAGAATCAAGCTCCTTGAGGAGAGCCACGGTTTGTGAGTTCCGGCCAGACGAGCGCCGGTTCAGTGAGGCGCTCATGGGCTTGGGTGCTGCATGCGGGGGCGATGCTGGTCGGTTTGGCGCGGCTTTTTGCATCGCCTCAGGGGCCGCTCTCTGCATCGCGTCTGGAGGGCCTCTTTGCGCCGCGTCAGGTGTTGCTCTCTGAGTTGCTTCTACCACGCTATCAATCGAACCTGGGTTGCCAGGTCGAGGCTTGCCCCTGGGAGGCTCGCCACCCACGGAGCTCTGTCTTGATCCTGTTCTTGACGCTTGAGTGGGCGTAGTCGGGGCTCGTCGGTCGTTGACGGGGCCGCCCGCAGCAGACATGGGGCCTGAAGGCGTGGGCGTGGTCGCCTCGCCCTCGGGAATTGTTTCGCGGGCGATTGGTGAGGGGGCAATTCCCATCTGGGGCGAGCCCGTCGCTGCCGCACGATCGACTGACGCACCTCGAACCCGTCCCACGGCAGACGGATCAGGACCAGGCTTGGCGGGAGTAGGACCTTGCGGAGGTGGGCCAGATGGGCTGGCCGCCGTAGAAGCCCTGGACATCTGCATCTTGTTTCCGGGACCTGGGGGGCCTCCGTGAGGTGCTCTTGGTGGAGCGCCAGCGGGAGGAGGAGAGCCCGGTCCTCCAGCAAGGCCTGGCGAGCCATTCGGATCCATGGCGCCCGAAGCAGTTCTCCGACCCGGAGGGCCGTTGATGCTCGATGGGCCGCCGACAATCGCATTCCCGGAGTCAGGGGGGGCTCCGCCGTTAGATACATCGCGCATGGGTGGCTGTCTGTTGGGATTCGTTGCGTCGCTGGGCCGCCGAGCCTGGGGTATCCTCTGAGGTCCTCCTGGAGCATCATTAGGATACCGAATCTTAGTCGTATCCAAGACATAGAGGAGTCCAAGATCGTTGGTAGACGAAGAAGCAGTGCTAGGTTCTCCGCCAAGTACCACAATGGACTTTCCAACCGTCGTCATGCTGTGGCCGGACCGAGCGGAGGGGGACGGGCCCATGTTCTGGAAAGTGTACCACCTCCGCTGCGTGATGCGGAACGCGGCGAGATCGCCCAGATCCGTACCCTCCTCAGTTCTACCTCCGAAGATATACATGACATCGTCCACCAGAGCAGCAGCGTGGCCCTCGCGAGGCGCAGGAATATAGCCGATGCAGTCCAGCTGCGCCCACTTGTTGACGGCAGGGTCGTAGCACCAGACGTCATTGAACCATTGGAAGCCGTTCGTACCACCAAACCTAGGTGACAACAAGTGGTTAGAAAATCACAAGGGTCGTATAGGGCCAGTGAGCTAAACGTACAGGTACATCTTGTCGTTGAATGTCACCATGGAGTGATTCGTTCGGGCGGCGGGCATTTTGGGACTCGCTTCTGCCTTGAGGAGAATCTCCCATCGGTTCGTTGGCGACTGCAGTTGGTTGAGATCGAACGCAGAGAGGTCGTTCATAAAGAAACCTTCAACCTGGCCACCGAAGATGTAGATCTTGGAGCCGAGGATGTTGAGAGAATGGCCGTATCGCCCCGACGGACGCGGGCCTGCGGGTAGGGCGCGGGACCAGTGCCGTGTTGCTAGAGCAGGCAATCGTGGTTAACATCCTTGAGGCGCTTGCTTTGCTGGGAGGAATGGAGGGCTCACAAGTATTAAGTAGGTATAGTGTCTCATCCAAGATGTCGTTGTCGTCAATTTTCGTATCACCACCATAAACAATGAAGGCGTTGCCAACCAGCAAACTGGCGTGGCCAACTCTAGGTCCCGGACCCTCGGCGGTCGTCGCCAGAGGGTAGCAGTTGGAGCTACCACCAGCCTCAATCATCCAAAGATCGCCCTTTACGGTTGAGCTGTTGATCAGGCCACCCATCATGTACACATCTCCTTCCTTGGAGGCGACTGCGTTGACGGCAGCGCCATATCGGGGAAACGGGCTCGGATGGGATGAAGTGTACGTCAACCGTCGCTGCGACCACGGATAGAGCGAGGCGTTGGTGTTGCTCACGGGGGGCGCATTTCGAAGCTGTTTGGAAATTCATGCGTGTTAGTTGTCACTCATATATACACAACGCGGTCCCCGTAGCCACATCGAGTGGCTCCAGCCTTCGGGGCTACTCACAGGCAAATCGCTCGTCGGCGGCGCATCCACGCTGCCTGCGCGACGGACGTGAGAATGGGCCTGGTCTGGGCTGGAGGTGCTGGCGTCGTTGTCGATCGAATGCAGGCTGCCCGTCGGCGTCGCGCGCTGCAAAGCTGCCTTGTCGTCTTTGGCAACCGCGCGTCCGGGGGCGTTCTGGATGGACCCCTGAGATCCCGAGCTGCCGTCGCGACTGGTTACCGTCCGGTCCTGGTGCTTCTTGGACTTGAAGAGGAACGCCATGGTCGGCTGCGGACCGCTGGCTGGCGGAAGGTGAAGAGCGGCGGGATCACAATCACTGGCTGGCGATGGACGATGGGGGTGGTCGGGGCGTCAAGGTAACGAGCGTGGTGAAGGACGAGGAGCTTCAAAGGAAAACGGCAACGAGAGGATGGCGCGCACACGCACACAAAGACGCGGACGGCTCAACAAAGGCCCAAGGAGTGACTGTGAAGAATTGCTATGAAAAGAAGGGGGTCGACGCTCGAGTGTCGAGATGGCTGGGCAAGCATCTGTGGGAGATATCCGGGGGAGAATCGCCGAAATTTCAGTGGCCACCTCTGCTGGGGGAGCACCAGATGCGAGTTCGGGGGGGGTGTCGTTTGCTCTGCCGTTCGCGAACCTGCGGAATGGAGATGCAGACGCAGACGCAGCTGAAGGCCCGCGAGCTCGCAATTGCTCAGAGACGGTGCGTGAGGACGGTCCAGCCCGGCGAAAGAGGGAGAGAAGAATGGAAGTTGTGAACTGAAATGGTGAACGAAGCTCGCTCGTTCAACTCAACGGGGGGTCACAGAACGTGCAATGCCGTCTTGCTTCGTTTCTGCTGCTGGGGGGCTGCGTTTCGGCCTCCTGTCACAGCCAATTAGCGGGCGGCGCTGCCCTGAGCGAACATTTTTAGGGGCTGCAGGCTCACCAAATGTGCACTAAGCTCCTGTAGGCTACTGACGTACTTGTACTGCCGTGGCTTTGTGGGGAGGGGCTCCTAACAGCAGAGACCTGGGGGGTACCTGCAATCCGCGCCCGGACTGGCGGCCGGGTGCCTGGGCGCGGGGCCTGCAGCGAGGTTCCTCAGGCGTAGCGCTCTGCAGGTCGGAGATGGCGATGATTGTGGAGCTGGCCTGCCCAAGTAATAAATCCAGGGGCAGCGACAGGCATTGGGAGTGTCGGATACGGGAAGGGCTCAGCAGGACGCAAGGAACAATCCGATGTCTGCCAGCCAATGCTCGCCGTTTCGTCTGGAGGCTCAGGTCCACGAGCCCACTTGCTGACCTCATTGTGCTCGTGCCTGCATGTTCCGTGTCGCTTGTTGAGGCAGACCCCGTCCACATGCCTGGACGCGGAAATGCGGTTGAGAGGCAACTTTAAATTGGGCGCCCGACAGAGTACATGTACAGCTGCTGCACGAACAAGGCGTTATTACCAGTGTCCGAGAGTTGGAATATCGTCGTCTGTATCGAACATACATACAGTACCGACTACATGTACGGTATGTAGTACTCCTAACAGAAACACAGATCACGAGAGCACCAGCAACACGCTCCGTAGCCGCCCGGCAATTCCAGCGCTGATCATCGATCGCTGTTGGCCTCCATCACTCAACCTTCGAAGCTCCGGCTCATTTCCTCCCCTTATTGTCAGTGCTACTGTCACTGCAGAGTATTATTAGACCTGAAAAGTCTTGGCTGAGCCCGGCTCGCTCCAGCCGCACACAATATATACTTTGTGAGCCGCCTACCAGCAGGGGCAGCCTCGTCGATCACATTTCATTCTGCCCTAGGCCTGGAATGGGGGAGATTTGATGCGTTGCTTTGCTTCGTCCTCGGGCAACACCTGAGGCCATCCCAGCCGAGCAGTGTCCGTTCCTTTTCGCAGCGTCTGGTCATTATCCAGGGACAATGCACACAGCGCCAACATGCAGTTCTCACCAGCAAGCCTGATCCTTTGCAAGGTCTCGGCTGGCATCCGGTGCGACCTCTTGCCCAATGTCCAATATTCGAATACTATTCTGGACGCGCACAGACCGCTTCATCTTGATTCCTCCTTCAGGTGCTAAGCCCTAACGGGCTCCCGGCGATGCTTTCTGAAGGATTGAAACATTCCAGCACTGTGCGCTGCTTGCATGTGCTCTTCCATCCTTGGCGCCATGCTTCATGGACTTTTGAGGTTGCATCCCGCTTTGATGCTTTCCCGGGCTACCAATTGCCTAATGATAATGGTAAACTCGGACACAGCTGATTTGTCGACGAACAGCTGATTACTATAACTCGCATGTCGACTCCTGCAGCATAGGGTAATTCCAAGATACATACCTATGGCAACAAGGCAGCTCGGCAATTCGCATCACATGCCTTCTCCCGGATGGTGCACAAAATACCTTTCGAGAAGCTGCAAAGAATCACAGTACAAGTACTTCCAGGCTTCCAGGCTTTGAGCTTACAGGGGATGCCCAAGAATAGCTCGGCCTAGGCCATCGCCATCGGATTCTAGACCCCAGAGGAACAACGCCAGATAAGCCGGTACGAAGGCCCGAGGACATCTCGAGACGCAGCATCACGTGCTCGATAGCGACATCATTTGGGAGGCTGCTCATCTGAATCTGTGAGGTCAAGGGGCCGGGCTGATTCTGACAAGAACGGACTCGTCACTCTGTAGAGCTGCGGCAGATGAAGACGCAAGGTAGCCATGAAGCTGCGTCTTATAGGTGCTTCCCGGTGATTGACCTGCGCAAAAAAGGCTTGTCGCGGGTTAAGCTTCTTAGCGTCCTGCTCTACATCATCGTGTATTAGGTAGGATGATTCAGCACCTCTACGAGCTTGAGTCTCTCGATCACGTCTGTTACTTACGCTGCACAGCTTTCAACATTGACCAAGAGCCAAAAGAGGGCTATGTTTTCAGCAAGAATAGCATCCCAAGGATGATGTCGTTAGCGAGCACATGGACGAGAAGCCATCCCATCACCAGGTAGGTAAACAGCAACCGGGTAGGTAGGTACGAGTATACTAGATCAAGCCACACAACGCCAATGACATGGAGCTCAAAGTCAGTATAGTAATAGATCCTCTCCAAGCTGCTGCTGCTCGTCTTGCCCTTGCTGGACGACCTGGAGAAAGGCGGTAACACTGGGGGAGCCGGTAAGCCACACAGGACTGGGCGGCTTTGGGTAGCAATGCAAACGTCGAGCACCTCACATGCATGCGTGCTACTCGGCATCATACCGATCGAAGACCTGCACTCTACTCGCGTGTACTGTAGTGGCAGCCCGAAGAGGCACATATGCAGGCTGTGGGCTGTACGACCACGCAATGGCCAGTGAGCATCTCTCAACTCAACGGGTGCTATGTGGTTGTCAAGACCTGCCTAGTAGACTGCTATATGTAGTAATAAGCCATCTACCCCAAGGTATGCGCTGGCTGGCTGGCCTCGCCGAAGCCAAAAGCTGAGGTGCATGTGCTGCCCTAGAGTCACCGCTGCCTTTCCTCTCCCGTCTCAACCCACGCCTTTCCATCACTTCACCTCTGCCATCGTCACCCGCGGGCATCGATTCCGGGCCGACGAATGGCAGCTTCTTCGTTTGGATTCCACACGCGCCGCTGAGCAGAGCAGTACCTTTAGCTTACCTACAGTAGCATGGGGTGCTTCAGTATGACGATTTAAGGAACCACCCAGAGCGATAGTGATAGTGCCCTCCACTTTTTGGACCGCGAACCGTCATGTCTTCACCTCAACCACCCTCTTCGCCTCCTCGGCATCCACAGCAACGCGCTGCGAGCCTTGCAGGAGCCACGCCCGCGCACCACGACCATCACCACTCTCTGCCCTCCCCGCTGCCCGCGCGACTAGACGACCTGCGAGCCGCGGCCCATGGCCATCCAGCCGACATGACGCAGCGATCTGGTGCAAATGGCTCACACCCGTCCGCCGCCGCCGCAACCACCAACGGCACCGGCGGTGAGACGTCGAGGTTCAAGGTCCAGTCCGCCGCCAGCTCCGACCGCGACTCCCAGTCCAACGAGCCCGTCGACAAGCGGCCCTCGAGCGCGCCCGGCCGCAAGAATGGCGATGCCAAGGACGACCACAGCATCGAGCCCGAGCGACCGGCCCGGCCAGTGAAGCCGGTGCTCCAGCGCTCCAAGAGCGAGTACGCACCGCGGCAGGTCGAGGAGTCGGACCACGAAGAGGACGAGATCCGCGAATGGGGCGCCAGGCATGGCTTTGAAGATCATTATCAGTCGGAGCATATCATTTCTCAGCTTGCGAATGTACGTTGTCTGTTGCTTCTCCTCCTACCCAAGCCCAGGTTTCCCAGAATGGCTCCAACGCCTCTCTCCCACAGCGGCAACGCTATGCGCCCTTCCGTCATCACTAGGCCTGTTTATGCCCTCCCCGGGATACCTTGCTAACTCGGACCTCAGAATTGGTACATGTATTTCACAGACAAGCGGCACGAAACAACGGCCAAGCCCAAGGCGGTGCAGTACGAGCTTCAGGATTGGCGTCAGAGAGACAGGTTGAAGACGGTTTCGGCGGCTCTCGCAGTGTGTTTAAATATAGGAGTCGAGCCCCCCGACCAGCTCAAGACCAACCCGGGCGCGAAGCTAGAGGCATGGACCGACCCGACCATCCCTCCGATCCAAAAGGCTCTCGAGAACATCGGAAAGTCCCTCCAGGCCCAGTACGAGACTCTTGCGATTCGAGCGCGTTACAAGCAATACTTGGATCCATCGGTCGAAGAGACGAAAAAGTTTTGCATTTCCCTGCGACGCAACGCCAAGGATGAGCGTGTGTTGCTGCATTACAATGGCCACGGTGTGCCGAAACCGACGGCGTCGGGGGAGATTTGGGTATTTAACAAGACCTACACTCAGTATATCCCAGTATCGTTGTACGATCTGCAGCAGTGGCTGCAGGCGCCCACCATCTTCGTCTGGGACTGTTCAGAAGCCGGCAACATCCTCAACAACTACCATCGGTTCGTTGACAAGCACGAGGAGGAGGAAGAGGAAGCCGCTTTGCGCGACCCCCATTATGTCAAAACCAACTACAGACCATACATCCATCTGGCTGCGTGTGCAGTCAAGGAGAATCTCCCCACCAACCCCCTGCTGCCCGCCGATCTTTTCACGTCGTGCCTCACGACCCCGATCGAAATGGCCCTCTGGTTCTTCGTTTTGCAGAATCCTCTCAAGACGAACATCACGCCTGAGCGAGCCAAGAAGCTCCCTGGACGTCTGCAGGAAAGGCGGACGCCTCTCGGCGAGCTGAACTGGATCTTCACGGCCATCACCGACAGCATTGCGTGGACCACACTGCCTCGAGACCTGTTCCGGAAGTTCTTTCGCCAGGACCTCATGGTGGCGGCCTTGTTCCGGAACTTTCTCCTGGCGCAGAGGATCATGATGGTGTACGGGTGTCATCCTCAGTCATACCCTGCCCTGCCGGATACCCACCAGCACCCGTTGTGGGCAACGTGGGACTTGGCCGTCGACATGGCTCTGGCACAGCTGCCCATGCTGGAGCGAAAAGAGAACGAGGGTATCGACTACGAATACCAGAACTCATCCTTCTTCACCGAGCAGCTGACTGCTTTTGACGTCTATCTCACTAGAGGCGATGCCATGGCCCAGAAGCCGCCTGATCAACTGCCGGTCGTCCTTCAGGTTCTGTTGAGCCAGCAGCATAGGGTACGGGCCTTGATATTGTTGGGTAGGTTCCTCGACTTGGGTCCATGGTCGGTGCAGCTGGCTCTCAGCATTGGCATCTTCCCGTACGTCCTCAAGCTGCTGCAGTCCGCGGCCACCGAACTCAAGCCCGTCATGGTCTTCATCTGGGCGAGGCTCATCGCCGTAGATATCTCATGCCAGCAAGACCTGATCAAGGACAGTGGGTACAGCTATTTCGCGCAGATCTTGAAGCCATCCGAGGCGCTGCCCGTCGTCAACGGCGATGAGCACAAGGCCATGTGCGCCTTCATCCTCGCCATGCTGTGCAAGGGCTACCGAAACGGCCAGATGGTCTGCAACCAGACGGAGATCATGAGCTACTGCCTGACTCACCTGCAGAACGAGAACAACCCCCTCCTGCGCCAGTGGGCTTGTCTCTGCATCAGCCAGCTGTGGCAAGATTTGCCCGAGGCCAAGTGGCGTGGCATCCGAGAGAACGCATATGCCAAGCTGGCGTTCCTCACCAAGGATCCGTGCTGCGAGGTACGAGCAGCCATGATCCACGCGCTCACCACTTTCCTCGGGATCCCCGACCTGACGGAGGAGGTTGCGCGGATTGAGGAGTCCATCGCCTGGACGATCCTCGACATGGGCAACGATGGCAGCCCCATTGTGCGCAAGGAGTTTCTGGTTTTCTTGTCCCATTTCATCGTTCGCTTCGAGAGCAAGTTCCTCGTCGCAGCTTACGAGCAGCTTCTCGAGGAGAAGGAGTACCTGGTGTTCCCTCCTCCGGATGACGGACAAGACCACAAGATGGGCCTGCACTACGCCAGGCCGGACAACCGGCAGCGGGACGGAACCATCAAGCCGACCGCCCACGGGCTTTCCCACAACACCGTTTACATGGCGTTTTGGAAGCACGCCTTGATTCTGAGCGTCGACCCTCATCCAGAGGTGCAGAGAGAAGCTACCATTGTCATTGATTACGTCCACAACGCTTTGATCAACTCGACACTCGGCGAGGCGGCCCACGCCGTGATGGCAGAGGTCCAGAGAAGGGCGAACAGAGCGACGCGCAGCAGGAGTACTGCCAGCTTGGGACAGAGGACCAACGGCACCCTCAGCCCCCAGCCATTGCAGTCTCCCGGCCTGCTTCGACGAACGGCCAGCCTCCTCTTCCAGTCCTTCATCACCACTGAAGATAAATCGAGGCCTACCACTCCCAACGGCCAAGCCCCACCAAAGTCACCCTCGGCCAAAGTGTCGCCCGATCGAATGGCTGCCCCCCCTGAACAGAACGACTACTCCGGCCCTTCAGCGACGTACCACACTGCGCGAGAGCCGGTCTCTGGCACGTTTGAAGAGCGCGACCTGACCAAGGAGCCGACCCTACCGCTCACGAGCAAGTTCCTCGAGTGGTCGATTGAGTACTTCCGTGAACCTCAAATGAAGAATACGGAGGCGGATGAGCCCGGCAGCACCGACTACAATGAGAGGCTGTGGCGCAGGGCCAGGAACGAAAACATCATGAGGGAAACGCAGCCGCTCAAGCATATTGCGGGCACCCACAGATGGAACAACCAGCTGGGCATTATCAACAACGGCGCGCAGCCTGCCAAGCTGACATTCCACCAGTTTGAGGACCACTTGGCGGTGGCAGACGATGCCAACACGGTCTACGTCTGGGACTGGAAGAAGCAGGGACGCCTCAACAGGTTCTCCAACGGCAACCCAGAGGGCTCCAAGATCAGCGACATGAAGTTCATCAACGAGGACGACCAGGCCATTCTGATGACTGGGTCATCCGACGGCGTAATCCGCGTGTATCGCAACTACGACTCGGAGGAAAAGATTGAGCTGGCAACGTCCTGGCGGGCTCTCACGCACATGGTTCCCAGCAACGTCAACTCGGGAATGGTGTTTGACTGGCAGCAGGCGACGGGGCGCGTCCTCGTCGCCGGCGATGTGCGGGTCATCCGGGTGTGGTTTGCCGGGCACGAGACTTGCATCATGGACATTCCAGCCCGATCTGGCTCGTGTGTCACGTCTCTCACCTCGGACCAGATGACGGGCAACATCTTTGTGGCTGGATTTGGAGACGGCGCCGTCCGCGTCTTTGATACGAGGCTGAAGCCGCAGGAGTCCATGGTGCGCAAGTGGAAGGATGAGACGGACCGCCAATGGATCAAGACGGTGCACATGCAGCGCGGAGGAAAGCGGGAGCTGGTCAGCGCCAGCCGCAATGGCAAGATTAAGGTGTGGGACATTCGCATGGACAAGGCATTGCACTCTTTCCAGACGACGCGGGACACTCTCCGGACGGCAAGCGTGCACGAGCATCTGCCGGTATTCTCAGTGTAAGTTTTATCTGACGTCCCCTGGCCACTCAGGGTAAACAGTGTATCTTGGCTAACATGCTTGTCCTCTACAGGGGAACTTCTGCGCATACCGTCAAAGTGTTCAACCTGAGCCATGGCACCGAGCTTTCTCGACTCGAGCCCTACTCCAGCTTCCTGCAGCAGACCCGAGGGACTCCCATCTCAGCGACGGCATTCCACCCGCACCGCCCCATCCTCGGATGCGCAGCACGAGGCGACCACCACATCAACCTGTTTACGTGCGAGAAGACTGAGCCGGTGCAGCTTGGTTAGCGGCCAAAGCCTCCCAGGCCAGCTGCCCAAAGGGCGCCCCGTTCCTTTTCCTTGGTCCTTTGATGGCGCGGTGATGAACATTTCTTCTTCTTTTGCCTCGTTCTTTTCTTTCGATGATATCAGGCGCCCCGCAGTAAAACAATACAGGGACGGGGGAGACGCTGTCACCAGGCTTCACATGCTTTGAATAGATGCATCGATGCTGTACACAAAGGGTCTTTTGTGCCTGACGTGTCTGTGGATTTTTCTTCAGTTGTGAAGGTTTCTTTTTTTTCTGGAGGAATGGCTTTGAAAGGGCCTGTTGGCAGGATTCTGGCGTTTGGGGAGAGAAGGGCACAGTACACCTGTTTATCGTAGGTAACTATAGGTAGTGAAGGCAGATGACTTTTTTTTTTTTTTTTTTTTCATTCCACTTCTATTACTCTTTATCTTTACACTGCCTTTCTAGAAGATGAATTCTTTTCCTTGTTGCGGGTGGTTGGAGCATATGTAGCCGGAATCCAAATCGATATATCGTGCTGGGCTTTATCACCAGGACACAAGATTATATGCATAATCACGAGGAGAATTGTAACGAAAAAAAAACGAAATAAACCTCGGTAGTGGTATCAAAATTTGACAAGCCCATCTATTTGGTTTGCATATCAAAAATCCCCTTTGTTGGTTGCTTCCGGACAGGTAAAAGTGTAAGGTAGAGTAGCATTTTCGTATTTCAACTTGCATGTAATTAGAGGGTTAGTTGGACCGCTATGCGCAAAATGGGCATGGTTTTAATTCCCTTCTTCTGTGTTTCATGGATGTAATCTCCGAGGGTATCATCTTTCTGCATCTCATCTCCTCGGCCGTCTCCAGAAGAAAAGATGAGCCGAAGTAGATAGTAGTGCTTTGAGAGGCTGAGATCTCACTGTAAACAAGACGGTGTCAGCGCGGCAAGCGGGAAGCGGCTGAATTGGCCTGTCCGCGTCTCGGCTGCTCGGGAGTCGTATTGCTGATGGGCTGAAGCGGAAGCGGACGTGTAAGGCGGGATAGGTGAGAGGTGCTTACACGATGTGGGAATTTGATGGGAAGTGAATACAGTCTTAGTATAGCAACTTAGCAGTAGGCAGTAATGTTGATTATAGTTGCAGAACTATCAAGGCAGATATATATGCCGAGTGACGCCAGATGCTCGTTTTTCTGATGGAGAGTAATATCACGGCCGTAGAGGGCTTTTGGTCGTACTAAGCACTACAGGTACTGCACCTTACATAGGTACCTAAGGTACCTAAGGTAAGTTTTGTTTGGAGTGATATGTCACCAATTCAATGATGTTTTGTCCAAGTGAGAGCATATACACAATACCTAAGGTACGCTGCTGCATGAATCTGTAGAGCCCGCAGATATTAGTTCCGCTAGTCCTGGATCAGAACAGATGGAAGCTTTCTGCTGCTTACTGCATGTGGCACAGAGTGATAGGGCATCCATGGCATGTTGGGGTTGCATGTGTGCAGCTGGCTGTCCATGGATGGCTTCACAAGGCACGGAAGCCACAAAGTTGGTCATCCTGATAGTATTGACTCCTGTCCTGGTGCCTTGGAAAGCCACGCTCTGATGAGCTCATCCTCCAATTCGTTGGTACTCGTACACACAAATCCCATAGGTACAAATCCATACGTCAACAGATGCTGCGGCAAAAGAAGAGACGCCTGGACAATGCAGTACAGTACAGGTTGACGACCTGAGGGACAAAAGCAGGCTAGCGCCAGGCTCCGGACCCAACAAAAATCTCCCCCAGAAACGCCACCAGCTCCGGCAAAAATCAAGCTCGAGGCCTCGTTGCGTCGATGCGACAGGGGTGGGTGACTGGAGAGGCAGGTACTGGTACAAGCCCGAGGGCAAGATGCAGCTGCCTTGAGGTTCAAGCTACAGTAGGTGAGCTTGGCACTGCAGTCAATGGACGCATCGGTGATGGCGGATTAGCGATTCAGCGCTGCCAGCTCGCCCGCGTAGGATGGAGGGTTTCACTGCACTAGAGCGTCGTTGAGATCCAATCAAGGCGCCAATTGTCGTCCATGTACCGCTACCGGGGCTCCTGTTGCCCCGAGCCTTGATTGGCCTGGATCCATTGTGCCAGTCCCGGCTACGTAACGGTACGTACCGGCCTCTACCTTAGCTCTCGCCTTGCCTTGCCTTGCTTGCAGTGCTTGCCTTGCCTCTAATAAGGCAAGCTCTCTCGCTCGCCCTCTCGCCCTCTCTCCTCTTCCACCTCTCCCTGCATCCGACAACTGCTCGACGCCCGACTGCTCCCAATCCCAGCAGCCTGATTTCCATCTCGACTGTTTCTTCCTCCGACGTCTCTTCCTCGTTGTCCATGTGGCCCCGAGCGTCGACACCACCGAGCCATCGTCACATTGCATCACCACAGCTAAGCTGGCTGACTAGCTCGACATACTGACACAGAAGCCGGACCCTCCCCCCCTCCCCCCTGCAACTCCCCCGGCACCAGCAAAGCTATCCACTGCATTGTTAATCTCCTCTGTGCCTGCCTGCCTGTCCGTTCTGTCCTCCCTTCTTCTCCCGCTCCCATCATCCAGCAGGCCAGCCGCCACACCACTAGAACCAGCATCACCAACAGCCTCACTTCACCATGACGGACTGGACTGTGGGCGTCATGCCCTTGACCCAGGTGCGCAAGCCGCCCTTCACCATCGAGGCGCCCGGCTACGAAAAGGTCCCCGGCGAGACCATCCCTCGCCGCCACCCGGCAGCCAAGGACGGCCTGCTCACCAAGCCCGCCGATGACGTACACACCGTCTTCGACATTGTCCGCCGCAGCGCCCGCGAGTACCCGAACCACCTCGCCGTCGGCCACCGGAAGCTCATTGAGCTGCACAAGGAGATCAAGAAGGTGCCCAAGAACGTCGACGGCCAGGTCGTCGAGGTCGACAAGGAGTGGCAGTTCTTCGAGCTCACCAAGTTCGACTTCATGACCTTCAAGGAGTACGAGACGCTCGTCCTGCAGCTCGGCTCCGGCCTGCGCAAGCTGGGCCTCACCCCCGGCTCTTCCAGGCTGCACCTCTTTGCCACAACCAGGTGAGCCATTGACAGTTGCTTCTGCGCGGCAAGGCATCAGGATGAAACCTGTTTGCGGCCGATAACGACCTATTCGCTAACGTACCGTCTCTCTCTCTCTGCAGTGTGAGCTGGATCTCCATGTCTCACGCCTGTGCCTCCCAGGCCATCTCCATCGTCACTGCCTACGACACCCTCGGCGAGTCCGGCGTCGAGCACTCCCTGGTCCAGACCGATGCCGAGGCCATGTACATTGACCCTCACCTGCTCAAGACGGCCGCCGGCCCCATCCGGAGATCAAAGGTCAAGACGGTCATCGTCAACGAGGACTGCATTTTCACCTCTGGAGGCGAGATCGAGGCCTTCAAGCAGGAAAACCCTGATATTCGCGTCATTACCTGGGAGGAGCTTCGCGAGCTCGGCAAGGACAACATGGTTGAGCCTTCACCTGGCGCCCCCTCGGATGTCTTCTGCATCATGTACACCTCCGGCTCCACTGGTCTTCCCAAGGGTGCCTGCATCACCCACGAGGCGCTTGTTGCGGGAGGTGTGTAATACCCCTTGGTCTACCTCAATGGGATTCAACGCTGACTTTCCGCTTGCTAGTTACTGGCCTCCTCGCCTCTGTCGGCGAGACCGTTAGCGACAAGGAGGTTGTCCTTGCCTACCTGCCGCTTGCACACATCTTCGAAATGGCTCTCGAGAACCTCGTCCTGTTCATTGGCGGCTGCCTAGGATATGGAAACCCCAGAACTCTTTCCGACACGTCCATGAGAAACTGCGCTGGTGACATGCGGGAGCTGCGGCCAACCGTCATGGTTGGTGTCCCTCAGGTGTGGGAGACGGTCAAGAAGGGAGTCATGGCCAAGCTGGACACTTCCAGCCCCGTCGTCAAGTCCCTGTTCTGGGGAGCCTTCAGCTACAAGAGCTTCATGTCGCGCAACAAGCTTCCGCTTGCCAGCATCTTTGACAGCATCGTTTTCAGCAAGGTTCGACAGCTGACCGGAGGCCGGCTGCGGTTTACCATGAATGGCGCCAGCGGCATTTCGGACAGCACAAAGCAGTTCCTTTCCCTGGTTCTCGCCCCCATGTTGACCGGTTACGGCCTGACCGAGACCTGCGCCAACGGAGCGCTAGGCAACCCGCTCGAGTACACTGCCAACTCCATCGGCCCTGTTTCTGGCGCCATTGAAGTGAAGCTGGTTTCCATTCCTGACATTGGGTACTCTACCGAAGCCAAGGTTCCCCAGGGTGAGATCTGGATGAGGGGTCTCCCCATCATGAAGGAGTATTTCAACAACCCGGAAGAGACGGCCAAGGCTCTCACTCCCGATGGTTGGTTCAAGACGGGCGATATTGGCGAGTTCGATGCTGATGGTCACTTGCGCGTCATTGACCGAGTCAAGAACCTCGTCAAGATGCAGGGCGGAGAGTACATTGCCCTGGAGAAGCTCGAGGCTGTTTACCGTGGCTCCCAGATGGTCGCCAACGTCATGATTCACGCCGATCCCGAGCACAACCGCCCCATTGCCATCATCATGCCCAACGAGAAGGTCCTGGCCGCCAAGGCTCAGGAGCTTGGCGTTGACGAGCACAGCATGCACCACGATTCCAAGGTCCAGGCGGCAGTTCTCAAGGATCTGCAAACCGTCGCCAAGCGATCTGGCCTGTCTGGTTTGGAGACGATAGGCGGCGTTGTGATTACTGACGCGGAGTGGACACCCGATAGCGTAAGTTTGCATATCCCTTGGCTGGCAGTGGATGTACGTTAACGAATCTTCTAGGGCCTGGTCACTGCTACGCAGAAGCTTAACCGGAAGGTCATCAAGGAAAATTTCAAGACGCAGATTGACGAGTGCTTGAAGCATGCTCCTTGAGAATCTCTTCTGCAGACGCAACTATTCGCGAATATGTTGTCCTGTATCCGCTGTTTGATGTATTGAAAGATGGCGACAAGACATTCGAGAACTGGAGGCGATGCAAGACGTGCGCGTGGCTTTGGTGTATATGGAGATAAGGAAGGGGGGGCGATGACGATGATACCGCTGTTGTGATTCAGGGCCATGTAGCACGATGTGATTTTACCGTTTGCCTCTTTTGTTTTATATGCACCTGGGGGCGTGGACTTAATTAATGATATTTATACCACTTTTATTCTAAATCTGGCACTGTCTCTGTCTCTTTCTCTTTCTCTCCCAGACTCTTGAAAGCGTCTTCTATTTCTTTCTGTTTAATGGAGACGTAAAATCGACGGTTTGTTTTCGCTCGCTCACACGCAGACTTGAGTAGCAAAAGCGAATTGCATCAAAGAGAAAGAACGCCAGTCAGATGTTATATCTTCCCCCTTGTGCCCCCCTCCCAGGGATATTGAAAAAAAGAAAGGAAAAACAGCTATAAAACGACATGAGAAGAATACCAAGAAAGGGACAAAAAGAGAAGCAAAAAGGAGAACAAAATAAGGAGGTAAACAAGAGAGGGGAAAAAAAAAAGAAGTTTCTCCAAAACTCGGCTTATATACGCTCGAAGGGTATTCGTAAAGAGATACGACAACAAGCATGATGAAAGGAGGCATACAAAAAAAAAGTACATAGCAAGCAAGCAAGCCACATCCCCTTTTCTCTCTTTCTAAGCGCTCTACCACAGCCCCTCGTTCATCATTCATACACATCACGACGTTGGCTGAAACTGTAGAAAAGGGGGTCGCTTTGCAGAACGCCCAAGAAAAAAAAGCGGAAAAAACACATAGTAAAGGCCATACTGCTCATCGTAATCGTCGACTCGTCAGATTTGCCGTTCAGTTATCCTTCCTCCTGAAAAACGCCAGGTACGGAACCGTGTCCTTGCCAGACTTGAACACGTGTTCCTTATAGTCGTTGGCGTCGCCCGTGCCAATGCGTACCCGGGTGACCATCTCATCCTCGCATCGGAACCAGGCATACGGATCGTGGGTGCTCGAGTCCCGCACGTAGGCGTAGTAGTGGCCATTGTCCGTCCTCCCGCCACTGTGGACAATGACGGCGTAGCACTCGTATTTGAACGGCCCCGAGAATGCCCTATCGCTCGAGCCCTCGTTTGTCCGCATAAAGTACGGTGTCAGGTCGATCTCGTTAAAGTCCCAAGTGACCCTGCTCGTGTTCTTCCTGATGTCCCCTACGGACTTGTCAAAGTCGAACCGGCGGAAGCTCAGGCACAGCAACGGCGGCATGCGGGCAAAGCAGGTGGTTTGCATCGCCTGGGTGTTCATCTTGCAGGTATCGCATGCAAAGTTGTCGAGCGTATTGACAACGTTGTGCTCTCGGAAAGAGTCCTCGAGAGTAATGGCACGGTTGCCGACGGGAGCAAAGACCAGGTCAAACGTCGAAAATGTGTGCGTCTGCTTGTGGCATCGTTGGCAGTCGACTGTTGAGAGTTCGAGGCCCCGCCAGTAGTCATCGACAATGGATTGGTTCAGCTCTCGATAGTTGGCCCAGTACTGGACAGCAGCCTGCAGGCGCGCATGAGGAGCCGTACTCGGCTGTGGGATACTGCCGTTGACATTGCGGCGGGTGTTAGTCTCGTCGTGGAGGTAGTCGAACAAGAAGGACATGAACTCCTGAGCGTCCTGTTGCCCCGTGCCCCCGAACTGGGGGACGGTGTGACTGTTACGGCAGAGATTGAAGGAATAGCTCTAAAGCAAAGACTAAAGTCAGCATTGTACAAGGAGGACGAATAGCGAATCCTAGTAGGTACGCCAAGGCAGGACAGAGGGGAAGTCGGCGTACCATCAGCGTCGAAGCTTTGAGAGTCTGGAACTTGCCCATTGCCATCCACTGAAACAGATTGGATATTATCTTCGTCATCAGCTGCGGCTGTTCAATCTTCTCGCCGTCTTTCTTCGGCACCTGGTACCTCTTGGACCACTCTGAGAGGGCCAGCAACCTCCCGAAAAAGGGTGATGCGAGCAGTGATTGAAGGATGCTGTTCGCATAGCACCAATTGTGGGGATTGTTGAGGCCGGTGTAGTAGGTCCTCTCAAAGGTTGAGACAGCGGCAGCTGTCTGGGCGTGGTCGTACATGTCGTGGTCGTCGACTGTTTGAGACAGACTGCTGTAGCTTGATCTTGGCAATGCCGGAGCTGGTCTTGTGGGGGGAGAGGGCAGATCATTGAATATTTCAACCTGGTGCGAGTGGGCAGCGTGGCCTTGGGACCTTTGTTGGGGGATAGCCGGCGAGGTCATGGACTCCTGCAAGGACAAAGACGGGAACCTTCTTAAGAAGGACTCTGTTGAACGATGGAAAGCTTGCTCTGTGGCGTTCTCCGTCTCCTTCGCTTCGATCTCAACGGCTTGCTGCCAGACCTTGACTATATCGGGCCTGAGTGGCTTGCCCAGATATTGAGAGGGCCGCCGCTGAAAGGGGCCTTGCCGGACCAGGGAGACTTTCTTCGGATTGGGCGGCGCCGTTGACTGCAGAGACGCCGAGCCCATGAGATCAACCCAGGCATCCAGGCCTCCTTTGAGCAGCTTTGGGGCATTTCGAAGCTCAGAGCCGTAGCTGAGGTGTACTAGAGCGCGGTGGAGGGATGACAGTGGAGTGTCTTCCGTATTCCACAGCGGGGAGGGGATCTTCTCCGAGTCCTGGTCATAGAACACCACTAGATCGTAACTGGCTCGCCTCTCAAACTGAGTTTGCTCTTGGCTCGGAGACAGAACAAGGCTTTCGGCTATTTCGTCAGCGGATATATTCGGCCTAGTCAGGATATTAGGATCGATGCAGATGGTGGAGGAGGACATGATGTGGCCCTCATCAAAGTCCTCGCGAGCACGGACGTCTATGATTAGAACCGAGAAGCCCTTTGCTTTCATGGCCTCAAACAGCTCTTCTGGCGTGATCCTGTCACCTTCTGGCACCTTGAAGCTACTCTCTGGCGGTTGCGGAGTCTCAACCCTTCCGTTCCTAGAGTGGCTTCTCGAACGGGACGAAAAGTAGTCATTGCCCTGCTGCGGTAACGGCGTGCTTGTCCCGCTGTTGAGGGATACTATGGACCCTGCCCGGCTATAAGGCCCTCGGGGCGTGGTGGGAGGAAGACGGGCAGATTCTCCAGAGATGCTGCCCCGCGCAGGGCTGTATATTGCATCGGGCATCTTTGGCAGCGCTGGGATTGCGCTGTCCAGGGACACTTTGGGACGAGGAGGGGGCATATCCCGGGGCCCAGCAGGCTTGCTGGGCGCTGGAACAATATGGTGGGTTTTGATGCGAGGGTCCTGTCCTGGTGAAGGCTGGGGCCCCCGTAGATTGGCAAATCGCGCCGCAAGATCTGACATGGCTTGGGCCGAGGACGTAGCTGACGCGGCGGAGGCAGCACGGGCATGGCCTGGCTTGATAGCGTGGCCCGCCAGCGATTGTGGCTTGGGGTGCACAGTGGGTTTGGCCTTTCCAGGGGAGCCGTTCGTATGAGGTTCGTTCGAAGACGTATCCATGACTGATGCCGTCTGCGACGAGAGGAGAGCATTTGCGCCGGCTTTCTGCTGGGTCGAGGCAGCAACGGTCGGCTTCACGCCCGTCCTCTCGTTATCTGCAATGATATCCCGCTTGATCTTTTCGTATATCTCGCTCTGCTGGGCTATCCGTTTCAAGAGTGTCTGATGTCTTCGATTCCAGTCCGCGCGGCTACTTTTAAGCTCTACATAGTCGCTGTGGGAGGGAATGATCTGGATGGTGATGATGGACGCCTTGACATAGTCCCTGAAAGCAAGGGCCGGCTTCCCAAAGTCGCGACCCATCTCGGATTTTGCCAGAGTTGTTTCGGCCATGTCGAGCAGATGCTTCATGGGCTGGTTCCGGTTGATGTCGTCGGGGAAAGCCACCATGTCGTCAATGTGCGGCAGGGGCGCGGTGGCACCAGGAGGAGGAGCATAGCCGCCATTTCTGCCATCGTGGCCCGCGGGCGGCATGCTGTGCCTGGCATTGACCGCCATATAATTCCTCGTGCTGTTGATAGGGTCCGCGGTTGTCATCGATGCAGGGTGGGCGCTGGAGATGTCGGCTAGGAAGGGGAGTAGATGGACGGGCAGCTGCTCGCGGCGGTCGGATGGCGCTGCTTCGGCGGCGGTCTCGCCCGTTTCGTGAAAGCGACAAGGCGTCGAGGGGGCGCACAGATCGGATCTGAGAAGGGCCTTGTCATCTCAGAGAGACAAGCATCGAGAGACGCGACAAAGAAACGGCACGGTTCCTATGACAGCGGCTTTCTGGGGCCCTGATGAGGGGCTGAGGCAGCACAAAGCATTCTCGTATGACCGGCGACGTCGAGGCGCTTCTGGCTTGGAGATGGAGGGCCAGTATCTGCGGCAGTCTGGGCTGTTGGCAGGTGAATCGTCTGGCTTTGCGTGGTCTGAGGGGAGGGCGAGGCTGGCGATAGTTGGTGTTGAAGGTGAGGCGAAGAGTTGAGGTCAGCTGCTTTGGCTGGGAACTTGGCCTATTGAGGGCGCCGCCACTGCTAATTACCGTAATGCGACCTGACCTGAAGGCCGTGTTTAGCGGTCGGGGTGCGAGGTACGAGGCGGGTCAGTCGCCATACGAACGTGGGGTATAATGTACATGAGACTCCGTTATAGTACGGCCAAATTGGTGCAAGTTCGTATGGCACCAAGAGTATCTTGCAACCGGCTCTGTGTACCTGCAGCTTCTCGGCATGTGGCCGCAGCTCTGAGCAGGTACCTCCGCCAAAAAATCGACGCATCAGCCACAACCGGCGTCGTCATTGGCTTGGCTGACGATGTGCTTCTGCTTCTCGACATGTTCTCCGTATTAACCTGGCGTATTACAACCTTGTAAATGCAGGAATAGCTGCAATACAACTGTATTTCATAACTTTCGGTAATACTCATGTGCCCGGTGCAAACATGGCCTTTACTCCTCACGGTTATAGAATCTACTATGCCGGTTCCTAAAGCTCTGTTCGAGGTCATGACTTCAGCCAGACAAGATAGAGTCTGCAGCATCCTACGAGGAACAAATGTGACATGATATGAAGGTCTATTTCGACGCCCTCCGTTTTCAGATACTGGACCACTAAAGAGAATCAAGTCTGGTAATGTTAATGGCAGCTGCGTTATAAGGGGACGGACAGAATTAGTTGGATGCCTGTAGAAAACCGAGGCGGTGGCAGCCTGTACCTCCAACGACTCCATCATATGCGGACGCTAGAATACTCAAGGCGGGAGAAGAGAGGTTGTAGGAAGAATGAATGGAACGAAAAAATACATTAATTCAGCATGCATCTGCAGAAACCACCCGCATTGCTGCAAACACCCAATTCAGCACATGTACGGCAAGGCGAGACCAGCCAATTTACAGTTATTACAGGCTCAGGAACAAGGCTGGCCTCGGCGCCTGCGGCGGATAAACCGCTGTTCCGGCTGGTGCCTCCGCGGGTGACGCAACCAACTGAACTCACGACGCCGCCGTGGGTACCTGTGACCAGCTAAGGCAGGACAACCGCCTCGTCCAGCCTCGCCATCTCGCTTCAGCTGCAACCCTCCATCACCAAGCTCTGCCGCTCCTCCTCCTTTCTTCTTCAGCCTCCTGCTCCTCCTCTTCGTTGCATCTCCGTCCCCGAAACACCCCGCCATCCTTCTGCCGAGTGACGCGCAGCTCCTTCAGCCAAACCGCCCATCATGATGAGCTGGTGGTCCACCTCGGCCAACACGGCCCTGGACGAGCAGATCGACAAGGCCACGAGCAGCAGTTTGTACGACGGCCTCCAGCTGCGCACCTTGCGAGCGACCGACGAGCTGACGACGTTACGTGTAGGGAAGACATCGCGCTCAACCTCGAGATCTCGGACGTCATCAGGTCCAAGACGGTTGCGCCTAAAGAAGCCATGCGGTCGCTGAAACGGCGCATTGGCAACAGAAATCCAAACACGCAGCTGAGCGCCCTCAACGTATGTCCATCTGCCATGCCCTCTCCTTTGTCCTCGTCCTGTCAGGCCCGAGCTCGAGCAAAGCGATCTAACACAGCTATACACCTGCAGCTTACCGACACTTGCGTCAAGAATGGCGGGTCTCATTTCCTCACTGAAATCGCCTCCCGCGAGTTCATGGACAACCTGACCTCACTTCTCCAAGCCGTCGGGCCCGTTGCCGTCAACGCCGAAGTCAAATCCAAGATCCTCGAGCTGATCCAGTCATGGGCGGGTGCCACAGAAGGACGATACGAGCTCTCTTACATCGGCGAAGTATACAAGCGCTTGCAGCGGGAGGGGTATCAGTTTCCTCCGCGGGTGACGGTGGCGAGCAGCATGATTGACAGCAGTGCGGTGGGTATCTCATTTCTACCTCAGGTAACACAGGGACTGTCAAGCTAACGGCAGGTCGAATAGCCCCCCGAGTGGATTGATTCGGACGTTTGTATGCGATGTCGAACGCCCTTTACGTTTACCAACCGAAAACACCACTGTCGAAACTGCGGTAACTGCTTTGATCAGCAGTGTTCCAGCAAAACCCTTCCTCTGCCTCACCTGGGGATCCTCACCCCTGTACGAGTCGACGACGGGTGCTATGCTAAGCTCACCAACAAGGGGTTCAAAGAGCCGATTCCGTCCCTCGACCGCACACCGACGTACCCTCACAAGACTCGCAGCACATCTGCCATGCAGCCTCGGAATGCGCGCGTCGATGACGGATTCGACGAGGATCTTAAGAAGGCGCTGGCTATGAGCTTGGAGGAAGTCAACAACGCGTCCCGCGGAAGGGTCCAGCCGCCGGCTACCAACGGACCCAAGACAACAGGGGGAGATGCCGCCGCCACAAAGCAGTTTGAAGAGGAAGACGAAGACTTGAAAGCTGCGATTGCCGCCTCTCTGGCGGACATGGAAGAGCAGAAGAAGAGACATGCTGCGGCGCTGAAGGAGCAGACGTCGGGACCAGCCGCCTCTTCTGCTGCTACTTTTACGCTGCCCAAGAACGACTATGAACTGACACCGGTGGAGGCGGAGAACATCAACTTGTTTGCCACGCTGGTTGACAGGCTCCAGACTCAGCCCCCGGGCACGATTCTACGAGAGCCCCAGATCCAGGAGCTGTATGACAGCATTTCATCGCTGCGCCCCAAGCTGGCGCGGACATATGGCGAAACGATGAGCAAGCATGGTAATGGTTTTTGTGACCCCGCTGCGTAGCATTGATGGCTAACGATGTGATTAGATACTCTCCTCGACCTCCATGCTAAGCTGTCTACTGTTGTCAGATACTATGACCGGATGCTGGAAGACCGCCTGTCAAAGGCTTACAGCCAGCAGAGCCTTGGCGGATACAACCTGCCACCCCCTCGCCAATCCTCCGGACCTTACCCTTCAATACCTTCCCATGCGCCAAGCAACTCTGTTGGTGCCGAGAATTTCTACACAGGCCAGCAGCAGCCAGGCTATGCACCCTCAGGCCAGCAGCTGTACCAAATGCCACCTCAACATGCCATGCCGCAGTCCCCATATCCGCCCTATGCTGGGATGCCAGCTCCCGATGCCAATGCCGGACCTTATGCCCCTCAGCAGCAGATGCAGACGCCCGATGGCTGGAACAACAGGGCCCCGTCCGCTCCTGAGCCGTTCCAGCAGCAACCGCAGGAGGCGCCGGAAGACCAACGACAGTACCCGCAGCAAGCCGCCGCGTCCCCGTCCACAGACCCGAACGCCTCCTACTACTTCAACACCGCACAGCCTTTACAGGCCGCTCCCACGGGACCATCTGCCCCCGGCTCTGCTCCGGACACTCAGTCGCCATATCCCAACTTGAACCAGTCACCCATGCCATACCACCGGGGCTCAGTGTCTGCACACACGCAAGCAACCCCTCTTCAGACCCCAACTCAACTCTCTCAACCACCCAATGCAGCACCTCACATGCCTGCTCATTCCCAGGCTCCCTCTGCTCCGACTCCCCCACAGCCGTTCCAGCAGGATATACCGCAAGGATCCCCCTATCAGGTTGCCATGCCACAGCAGCAACAGCAGCAACCGCCGGCGCCTCCGCCTGAATGGGCTGGATACTCGCAATACTCGATGCCCTCTGTGCCGCAGCAGGAGCCTGTACACCAACAGCAGCCGGTTCAGGAGGAGGCACTTATCGAACTGTGATTTTTGCTCATCTACTATGTACCTCGGTGGTGATGGAAGGATCAAGGCGGCAATTTGTCATGATGATGCGGGTTAAAAGTGACCATGGGGAGTTGTTTGCTCTATACTTTCTATATTACTATGATTTGGCGTCTCAATCATGGCTGGGCAATGTCTGGTGATGTTGACATGGAGTGTTTCCGTAGCCTTGTCAAAATGACTTTTCTTTTTCTTGGACAGGTTCGAACCATGGGCATGCTTCCTGCTTAGTGATGAGAGATGACTTGCGCCTCGTATGGGCCTCTTTGGAAACTCAGGATAACAAAACGTCCACTTCAACGATCTACCTAGTGCGAAGAGGAGCCGAATAGCATTCATGTGAAGGGTGCTCCGATCTCGTCATCCTGTCCACTCATTCATACACGGGATCTCTGCCACTAAGAGGTTTAGCTCACTCCAGCCACAGGAACCAACCAGACAACTGAGGGTGGTCATCAATCGGGATAATCTTATCAACCCCCTTGGCACGAAGGCCGTAATAAACTTGGTACAACTAGGAATTGGATGCAAACATGAACTAAAGTACTGCTGAGCGTCTGCTAAAGTAGTGTTCTTCGCTATAAGAAACGAATCTCCTTACGCTCAGCCAATTGTAGGAATGCTGGTGAAGGCTAGACGTTCCGTCATTTCACGGCGGGTCGTTTGCCCCCCTCCATCGCCGGCCCCGGAGCGCCCAGAAAATCAAGACGAAAAAAAATTGATGGGGTCCGTATGTGGCTTTCGGAGCCGGGCGACCCTCTCCGCCAACTACCCAGTTTATATTTGATTGAGTCATCGGGAATCGGATGCCTGCCAAATTTGTTGACCTGACTAGATATGTGGGTTTTTGGCGGCATTGCGGCTTTAGGTGGATTGTTCAGATGGGGTAGGCGAGCCGAATCCAAGTTGTTGGTGCCTTGTTCTTGGTTCAGAGTCCGTCATCGTTGATCCCCTTTCTCTCTTATATATCTTTCAAAGCTCAAATCTCAACATACACTCTCCTCCTGTTCTCTCAAAATCCTCTCATAACCACTCACCAACGACCCCCTCCCTCACTCTCAATCTCCCCCTTCGCCAGAACCACCAACACCAATCAACTCAACTCTCCCCATATATAACTTCTCATAAAAAACACACACGCACCAACACAATGCCTCCCACAATCCACCTCGTCCGCCACGCCCAAGGCTACCACAACCTCTCCCCCGAAAACGAAAAGCTGCCCGACCCGGACCTCACCCCGCTCGGCCTCCAGCAATGCGCCGACCTCCGCGCCGCCTTTCCTCACCACGCCCGCCTCCGCCGCCTCGTCGCCTCGGGCATGCGCCGCACCCTGTACACCTGCCTCCACGCCTTTGCTCCCTCCACTGACGACGACAACACCGACAACAACAACCAAGGCCTGCTGCCCGTCATCGCCCTCGACACCCTCCAGGAAGTCTCCGACGCGCCCTCCGACACGGGCTCCCCGCTCGCCAAGCTCAAGGAGGAATTCGGCGACAAGGTGGACTTGAGCAGGATGCGCGAGGGCTGGAACGACAAGGCCGAGGGCAGCTACTTCGAGCCCACGCTCGAGAAGCTGGCGACGAGGGCCAGGGACGCGAGGAGGGCGCTGAGGGAGATTGCCGCTGCGTCGGGCGACGACGATGCCCATCTTGCCGTGGTTTCGCACGGCGCTTTCCTGCACTTTCTGACGGAGGAGTGGCATGGCATCACAAGCACATATCGTAAGAATTTGCAACCCCCCCTACCCTACCCTCCCTCCATCACTCACTCACCCTGATGGTTCTTACTTTGAGAGAGAGAGAGAAGAAAGAAAAAGAGAAAAGACCAAAGAGGCTGGGTTTGTTTTGTCAGCTAACCAAAGCGTGGAAAATTATAGCCACAAGCTGGACGAATTGCGAGTATCGCACCTATCAGTTCGTCGATCCCACCGGCCAGGACCCGGATGCCGAGCTGCGCGAGACGGACGAGAGCTGGCGCCGGCGTCACGGCAGTCTCAAGGTTCCCTCCGCAGAGGAGCAGCGAGAGCTGCGCGAAATGATGGTGCGAGAACTCTCGCCCTTCTTCAAGGTGAAAGGCACCTTGAAGAACTGATGAGGTTTTGTATATTTCCCTATTGAATCCACAAATGCGGCTGGGTATAGAGTGTAGAAGATACATGCAAACTCATAGAGCAGGGTCGGCAGATGCCTCACCCTTTAAAGCAAACAAGGAGACTAGAGGACATACGACTGTAAAAGAGGTTGGTAGATGTCTTTACACTTAGAAAGTGCTTTTAGAATGATAAACATAGACGAATGCAGCAGCACGATGAAGAAATAGTAGCATTGTCCGAGTAGTATGATACCCATTCCAACCGCAGTTTAAACAGGCTGAGAATCGAAGCCTTCACCAAAAGTCCTCGCCCACGCACATCTTGGTCTGCCTCTCGACCACACCATCGTCGGTCATTCTTCCCATGCTGGCATGAGCACTTCGCATCGTCTCCCAACTGACAGGCTGTATTTCGTGAATGTAGAGTGACCAGCCAAGCTCCGACTGTCCGTCTCGGACAACTTCGCAGAGGCAGTAACATTTGTCATCGGCCTTTGTCGCTCTGAGGAACTCAGTTGTCTCGAGATAATCATGTTCCGTAAACTCCTTCACGCCTGTGATGAAGGGTGGTCCTCCAAACAAATCTTCCAATTGGAAGTATTGGAACTTCGTACCGTACTTCCAAATATTCCGCCGATCGATACCACCGCCGCCACAGCCAGTGTGGGCGACTCCTGCAAAGAGTTCGAACAAAGGGCGCTTCCCGTCAGTCCCGTTCAATCCGTCTTTGATCGAGTTGATCATCTCATCGATGTAGAAAAATGTCTTGCCAGGAAGAAGTTTCATAGCTTGAATGGGCATCTCATGGAGAGTGCATGGCGGGGGATGGCCCTGTGGTAATGGCCACCTTGCGTACCAGTATAATCCGTCTGTGTCTTGGGGACTGTGATGCTGGATATACTGTTGTACATTCTTCATCGGCATGGGCGTTGCATTCATACTCCAATCTATATCGACACTCGTATCCTCTTGACGCCATGGACGCTTCTGGATATGAGGACATATTCCAGACGACTCAACTCCAGCCGCAGCCTCACTCATCGCAACATCCTGCCTTGCAACAGCAGCCTCCAGTCTTTCTGCAAGCGCAGGACGTTTGAACGCGGGCTCCATCTCATCAGCCGCGTCCATCTCATCACTCGACCGTTTCTGAACAACGCGGAGGGCACTCGATGGAACCCTGTGAAAAAGCAAAGCATCAGCCCTAGCAGCCCTCAGTCAAAGGTTTGACATCTCAGAACGAACATGCTCGAGGGCGCCGCCCCATGACCAGGTCCCAACCATTCGCTCATCTTGACGGAAAAAAAACCTCGGCGTGTACTGAATAGAACTGCGGACGAGCCGAGAGAAGACGCGAAGGTTTGTAGAGGAGGGGCTTGGAAGTGCTGCTCCAAGCTTCTGTGAAAACTGTCTGGTCTTTCAGGGCAGATGTGAAACAAAAAGTGAAGAAAAAGCCATCAACGAACAAAGGCCTCACACAACAGAACTCTGTAAGTAAAGTAACAATGTCCGTAGAAAAAAGAGAAACACGAGAAGAAAAAGAAGGATGAGAGGCAGAGGGCAACGAGGAAATCTCGAGTGGGCAAGACTGCGTTTTCCCCTCTTCCCCTTCGCTCCTTGCCTTCTTCGCGACTTCCTTCGTCAGTATTGTGCCACATGGCGCATGGGGAAAGTCTTGCAGAGCTCCTTCCGTGATAAAATGTGAAACGCAGTGATGGGCTTGGCCATCAGGAAACTCCTTCGTTCTTGCCATGTTGATTCAGAGCAGCATTGCGTCATAGCAAGGACCTGGCAGCACCTTCCTTACGTACGATCACTGAGAATGAGTGAATAGAACGAAACGAATTGAGCGGAAACGCCGTCATCACATGAACCAAAAGCCATGGGAACTGCTTTAGGACTCCCGACTAAGGCATAGCATGTCCCTGTAAAGGCCACGGCGGAATGGCCTTCGCCCTTTCTGTCTAGGCGACACCGAATGGAACTGAATAGTCAGTCCTAACCGAAGCAATCATGCCAACAGAAACACGAGCGCAAGCGTAAATTCACTTCATTCGCTACGCTATCATCTTTTCATACATGTGAATCTTGAGTGCCTCGTCCGTCATAGCTCTTCACAACCCCGGCCCCTTCTCCCTGTCCCTCCAAGAATGCTTTGCCAACCGGTTCCCCGAGACGCCCAACGATATACTTGGAGCTCAACATGAGCGCAAAGGACATCTTTCCGCGTGAAGGAAGAAAGAAGAAACAAAAAGATGTCGAGACTAGTAGTAATAATTATATAAAATGTTGCTGGGTGTTTTCTCTCAAAGACTGTTTCCCCCACCGACATAGGGTATCTTTTGAGAATAGCGGAGGAGTGGTGAGTTTGCGGGAGGGCATACATCGGGGTAGTAAAATAAGAAGAAATATCAAATGAGAAGAAGTAAGATGAGTTCAAAAGAAGAACAAGGTAAAAATCACTGCGATAAGCAGCGCATGGGAAATGATCATGCGAGCCAAGGATGCGTAATGACATGAACCAAATCACATGATAATGGCGGGAACGTCCACGTTGGCCTTGATGGACTTGTGCGGCAGGACGCTGCCGCCGTTGACGTAGATCTCGTCGCCAATGGTAACGTCGTCACCGAGAACAGTCACATTCTCGAGACGGGCCCAGCGACCGACGGTGCTGTTCCAGCCAACAATCGTTGACTTGACCCATGCGTGGTCCTTGACCTTGGAGCCCTTGAGCAGGACGCATCGCTGCAGGCGGACGCCGTCGCCGACGACGACATCCGGGCCAATGGTGACATTGGGGCCTATTCTGCAGTTCTTTCCAATCTTGGCCGAGGGGTGAATCAAGACATTGCCACCGTGGACGTAGGGCTCGGTGGGAGGGGTCAGCTCCTTGCTGCCCTTCTTGGTGAGGGAGGACAGGTACAGGCAGGTGCCGCTGAGGAAGTCCTTGGGCTGGCCAACGTCCATCCAGAAGCCCTCGAGGTCGAACGAGTGCAGCTGGTTGTCGGCAACCATGGCGGGGAATGTCTCCTTCTCGATGGACGTGGGGCGGAGCTCGATGCGCTTCAGCACCGAGGGGTTGAAGATGTACATGCCGGCGTTGATGCGGTTGCCGACGAACTCGACGGGTTTCTCGACGAAGCGGTCGATGCGGGAGGGGTGGTTGGGCTTGTGGACAACGACACCGTACTTGGACGGCTCCTCGACCTTGGTGACGACAATGGTGCCCTCATCGCCGTGGGCCTTGTGGAACTCGAGGAGCTCCTTGAAGGGATAGTCGCAGATGACGTCGGAGTTGAGGACGAAGAAGGGCGAGTCGTCCTTGGCAAGGATGCTCTCGGCAAGCTTGAGGGGACCGCCGGTGTCGAGGGGCTCCGACTCGACGGAGAACTCGATGTTGATGTTGTATTTCGCCTCATACTAAACCGTCGAGCGTACGCAATCAGCCTTTGCCGTCCATCGTCATTGGAGGGGGAAATGGGAGGGATGCTCAATTGGGAGGGGGGCAAAAAGCTTGGTGCAGCGAATGGAGAAGCGAAAAGGCAAGGGTTGCAGTGAGGGGTCACAACGGGTGGTTATGCAAGGACTCACCTCAGCCAGGAACTTTTCCATGATTTCTGGGCGGTAGTTGACGGCGAGGACAATGTCGGTGACGCCAGCGGCGACGAGAGCCTCGATCTGGTGCACAATCATGGGCTTGTTGCAGAACTCAACCAGAGGCTTGGGAAGCGTCAGGGTCTAGATGGCGTCGCACAATGGTCAGTTGAGGTTCTCGGGTGTGAGCGGCTGCGCTTTCTGGTGGTTCCCCCCTCCATGCCCCCCATTCGCGTCAATGCGGTGGTGGGATGCAGGTCGGATCGCTGCTCTGGCGTGGACGTACGAGAGGGCGAAGGCGAGTGCCAAAGCCACCGACAAGAATAAGTCCTGCGCAGGGGAAAGAGAGATTGTCAGCAAGCCTTGCCATTGGGGCCGGGGCGAAGCCAATAAGAGGCAGATTGGAGAATAGGCGCGTCCTACCCTTCATGGTGAATGTATGCGACGAAGCTGAAGTTGCAAAGGATCCGTGGTGTTAAAAGGGGGGTTTCGTTAAGAAGCAGAACAAGGTAAGAAATAAACTAGTATGTTGGGTAGTGAGCGTAGAGAAGAACGAGCGACGATGCAATGCTCGCAGGGCAGAGACTCGCGGTCGGCTCGGGAGGAAGAGAAGACGCGGTGGTTGCGGGAGGATGGGGAGGGAAGAGGAAAAGGAGAGAGGAAAATGAGGTTCGGGCTGGATGGATCTAAAGTACGACCACAAGGTGTCCAGATGTCACGACGCCGGTACGCGCTGCGGGCAGCAGATGAGCACGGAGGCGCAAGTACTGCCGCTCCGTTACATGCGCCCAGAGAGGAAGTGCCCTGTACCTCATTTCGAGACGGATCGAGTGAGGCCTTAGCGCGCTGGGCTTAGCGGCATGCCGACCCCAAGGTGGCCCCTGAAGCCCGGGCTGAGGCACTGAAGGGACGCGGCGAATCAGGGCGCTTGATCCGACGACAGTGAAGCAGAGGGCAGTTGGACGGGGCTGCACGAGAGGGCCATTGCTGGTTGCAGCCTTTGATTGGCGTGACTACTCCGTATGGCATCTAGGATCCCAGTGCTCGTGAGTAGAACTATTTAGGTATCTCATGGCAACACGAAGCCTCGAGACATTCATCTCAATGGAGCATCAAGACCCTCGACCGTTCCCAAGGCTGTGCGGGGGTCCGCTGTGCTGTGATCAGTGGGCACCAGCAGTCGAGTCGACTTGACGGGACCGGGCTCCATGGCCTGTCCTGTCTTGATTCAGGGGCCCCCGGCCAATCAGCTCGACAGACGAGAGCATGGAAAATTTCGGGTTCCCACGACAAGAAGGCCGAAAAAGGCCTGGGACAAGCTGGAGGCGAAATTTCAGGCGGGAAACCCCCCCCGTATAGGTGATGGTGACTCGGTACCATTGAACTGCGTGCTATTGCTGCAGCTGCACAACACGCTTTGGCGAGCCCGGAAAGCCCCGTTCGTGTTCGTCTGGTCATTCATCATACTACTACCATGCAGTCGTTGACTGCTGCTTTTCATCTGAGAGCCTCGTGTTGCTGCTGCGATGCTTGTACTAGGCCTCGTATACTGTAACAGCAAGTACCTACTCGGCCATTCTCCCTTTTGAGCATTATCGCCCATTTGGGCATCATCAATCTACCTTGAAGTACAAGATGGCGAGTGCGACAGTTCACCAGTTCAAAGCATCGGCTTGTATAACATATATGTTTCACACTGAACACAGTCTGCCGCCAAATGCAAGCATTCACTGCAAGTCAATATAGTACGACCTGAACAGAGACACACCGAGACCTGTCATCCATGACCCTGGACAGTTAGTACAAGTACCTCATTCCTACGCAACACCTGCATGCGGCAACAACCCCCATTACCTTACCCCAAGAACATCACAGGTTCACTACCCACGCAAACAGCCAACAGAAGCCCTTTCTGCTTCTTTTGTTCAATTCTTTCTTCTTTTTTCATTGCCCGTATCTTCGTGGGCACCCCGGCATAATACGATACGACTCTTCAACTGGGGGACAGGTGAGTTTCCTTTCGCAGTGCAGTTTACACAGGCCGTCAGCAACAATTTCAATACCGTATATTAGATGACTCTAACCCCTGGATTCATTGCCTCTCTTGACATTGTCTACTTACTTGGTCCTGTTTTTGCACTGTTCAACAGCAGACAATCACGCATGTCAACACTCGTTCAACGCAACAC